GCCACTGCTTGTAGAAAAGGAAGAAAGACATCCCAGAAAACATACTGTCTTTACAAAAGATAAAAATAATTTTTATTGTAGTAATTTAATAACTCTGCATATGATCCTAATAATAGACAGGCATGAGTTCCATCTTGGGAAAAGTCAAAGGAGGCAGAGAGGCATTGAATGTGGAGCTGGACTAACAAGAAAAGGAAGTGTAAAACCAGCCTTTTGATTCCTCCCCAAAGTAGAAATATCATGAGGTGCTGTGGATTCACAAGGGAAAATAAGTGGAGGATGGGGGGGAGGGGAAGCACCCAGGGCCCTTGGAGAGGATAAATGTATCCATGAGGGCATTTTATCATTTCTGGCAGGAGAGGCAGAAAGTCTGAATCCAGGCCCTGCCAGGCCTGAGTAAGGCAATTGTACTGTAAGTGCAGCCCCCGTCAAGGGCCACAGTGCAGTTTACAGGCCGGAAACAAGCCCAGATTCCTAATTTCAAATAAGCTGGGTATGCATTTTGGGATCTTTGTTATCCAAATAGCATCCTGACTTAGCAATGTCCTTATACCTCAGCTAAACCTTCAGTAAGATGAGGCAATGTTTGCCCTTATTTCCAGAGTTGTGAAAAAAGTTATTTAAAATCCTGGAAATTAAGAACTAAAACACAAACTCCTATTTACCTCCCACCAAATGTAGATTCAATCCCTACCTTCTTGCCTGCTATATGTAATTACGTGGTCTTCCTGGGTTTTCTATCATGACTTGCAGGTTTTAGAAACTAATTAATTTTGGTCCAGTAGATTAATAACGTAGTGGTAAATTAGACAATCTTTTTGATGTTGATGCAGTTCAAGAGAAGGTTTGTCATAGAATTCAAGAAGTGGGAAGACCAGGTTATTCTTTGTTTGGAGGCCAGTAGACCCCGTGAAGTCGTGCTCTGATCAACAAACCAACCCTCTTATCTTCCTTATCTCCGTTTACCTACGCCAGGAAAGAAGGTTGATGCAGACCTAGTTTTCCAGCCCCTGCTCTGTGTGCCCTTCTTTGTGGCTGAGTTCCCTTGGCTGGGTTTTCCCTCTGAGGTCATCACTTATTTATCCTTCCCTCATAAAATCTGCTTTCTAAAGAACTGACAGCCACTTGCTCTTTCTTTCCTGAGAACTGAAAGAGGTTCATCCACCTCAGTTCTTCTCAAAGACACCCCATGTGCACATGATGCTTGTTTGCTCATCCATAAAAGGAGGGAGAGAGAACAGTCGCTGATGTGATGTCAGTGTAAAGGCTTCCTTGAAGATAGCCTAGACAATTGGGCAGAAGGCTGAGTTCTGTCGCAGCCTCCAGGGTTGGAATGTGACTGACTCTGAGAACCCTGCCTACATGATGCTACAGAGAGATGTGCGCAAGGCAGGCCTGAAAGCCGCGTTCTCCACTCCCGTCAGGGTCTGCTCACACACCTGGGCCGCCAGGTGTGGACCATATCTCACCTGCGAGGGATATTTTCTCCATTCTGGTCTGCTCGCTCAGTTCCTCTGGCAGAAAGAGAACAGCCTTCCGAGAGCACAAATTAAAAACCTGCTCAAAGCCTAACCAAAAAATATGCCAGAGTTCATCCCTATGGAGGAGAAGAGAAGGAATAGCAGATGCCCTTCCTTTGCCTAATGTGGGAGGACTGAGGCACAGGGCCAGGAAGCCACTTAGCTGCTCAGGGCAGATCTCTGAGTGTGACATTCAAATGCCAGACGCCCAGTACTAGATAAAGATCCTTCTCCAGAAATTGAGAGTTCAGGTGTATGTGTTCTGGGATCCCTGGCTTCCTTTTTCCCACTTGAGAAATAAAACAGTTCTCTGCTCACTTACAATAAAAAGCCACTTAAGGGCTCTTTCCATTCGTCCTTTTTCTTGGTGACAGAGGTCGGTTTTCAGGGTGACCCGTATTTCTGTATGAACAGCCACCTTCTTTCTCCCGCTCCATGTGAAGAGCCACATCTATTGGGAGTCTTCTTGGCTAATCATCCCATAGTATGGTGGGCATGGACGGATCTCTGTTGACATGGGTGCCACCTGGGGAGAATTCACAGAACAAAAGGTGGCAGGCTTGAGCGGGGGTGGGGATGGGGCATACTGCTGACCAGGATCAGATAGCTAGGATAAACAGACCAGTTATATAACTGTGTTTACTATGGCTCAGGTGACTCTGAGAAGGCAGAGGCAGCCCCCTGACAGAAGGCAGTGCCAGCGACGGGGAAAGAGTCACAGGGAGGGAGGTCCCTGTTAGATAAGGGAGTCACCAGAGCAGAGAGAGTACATTGGGATGAAAAGAATCTCTTTGTTGTTGACAACAGCCAGGTCACCTCGGACAGCCTCTCCCTAAACCATGCCAGCTGTCTGCGGGGTTAGGCCAGCAGCAAGTAGAACTGAGGCTAGAGGGAGGGGTTGAGAAATCAGATACCTGGTTCTTGGCTACATCCCTGGACTTTGCTACTTCCCCTCCCCCCTTTTCGGAGGAAGGAGTCTTCTCCCTAAATATGTGCAGAAAGGGAGGAATCGGTCGAGATTCCTTATGCTCTATGCTCCTACAAGTCTCTCATCCTCTTTGCTATGAGGCCTGATGGCCACCAGGGAACATGCAGGGATCCTGTTATAGCTCGTCCTTGGTCCGAGCACATGGCCTAAGACTCAGAAGGAGAGTGATTTCCACTGGTACCAGGGCAGAGCAGGTTCTGACCTGAGAAAGGTGATAAGCCCAGCAGAGCCTGGGCCTAAGTAGGCAGAAGTCAGAGCAGTTCAGGAGAAAGGTTTAGGTCTCCAGTGGGGCCTACCCACCTCCTCCTACAAAGCTGTTTACTGGACTCCCTATTCCCATAGAGATGAAACTGGTAGCCAGTCCCTAGCTCCTCACCCCTGAGTGCTACCTCCCTTTGTGAGAAACAGGAAGTAAGGACCTTTGTCAGCTCAGCTACACCCTCTACATTAAATTTTTTTTTTTAAGATTTTATTTATTTATTTGACAGAGAGATAGCGAGAACAGGAACACAAGCAGGGGGAGTGGGAGAGGGAGAAGCAGGCTTCCCGCCAAGCAGGGAGCCCGATGTGGGACTCGATCCCAGGACCCTGGGATCATGACCTGAGCCGAAGGCAGCCGCTTAACGACTGAGCGGGGCGCCCTACATTAAATATTTATCTTGGAGTCCAGGTCAGAGCCCTAGAGAATAAGAGACGCTCGCTGCTGGTGAGAGAGGGTATGGCCAAGATTCCTGGAATTGGAAGATCTTCAGCTTCACCATCTTTGGAGAGCAAGGATGAACATGAAAGAGATGTGGCCCTTCTTAGTCGCAAGGATTCTGACAGGTGGGAAAAAAAAACTGGTGACAAGGAAATGGGCATATATTTTATCCCTGAGGGAGGGAGGAGGATGGTGCTGAGGGTGGGTAGGTAAGTATCCAAGCTTTAGGGGTAGGACAGTGCACTGCTGCCTGTCCTCAAGAAGTCCCAGAATGCCTACACTCCTTTCTGCAGCTGTCTTCTGTGGGTCGGGGCTACCCATCCTATCCTTCAGCTTTCCTGCAGAATTAGAGATTCTTGGAAGGGGCTTTAAAGGTGACCTCATTCAGCTCCCTTCTCAATGCAGTCTTTACTTTTAGAGAGATGCCCAATGATCAGTAGGCTTGGAACCCCTGTAATCCTCCTTGAAGTTCTTCCTTAGAAACCTTGGATCTGCTTCCAAGTATGCACCCAAGGGTCCCATTTCTGCTAGTGCAGCCATTCTGTTTCCACATGGCAGCCCTGCAGAGAGGGGACGGTAGCCAGCATGCCTGTCTCTCTCAAGCTTCTAAAGATGCCTCCTTCCTCTTCCACATGTGATATTGTTTCAAGCTGGTTCACCACACGGGGAGAGCTCTTTTAACTGAATTGAGAAAAGATAAAGCTAATAGCATCAATAATGGTGGAATTAAAAAAAATTTTTTTCATCTTTTCTCCATTCCCTTCCTTCTCCACTTTTGAGTTGAATGATGTGATTAGAAAACACCCTAAAGTGCATGGTGGTCTCAGGACACCAGTCTTACACCCAACAGGCATGTAATAAATGTTTTCATATTTTTATAATTTATCTTTGATCACTCCCCAAATGGATGTGAAATTGCCGGATAACTACTTGCTATTGGTTGGTTTGGGGCTTGGGTCCCAGAACCAAGCCAAGGGGTAAGAAGTACTCCAGTTTTTCCTTTACCAGTAAACATTCGTTAAGCACCTTCACATTCTATAACCTGCTCTGTGCACACAGAGGCTTGGAGGAGAAGGGAAAGATGGGATGGCCAGAGGGGTTGGGAGCCAATGGGCGCAGCCTCTTGAGACTGGTGTCAGAGCAGCAGGAACAGCGGAAAAGCAGCAAGATCAAAACAAACACGGTGTATGGGAACACCAAGACCTTGGTAACCCCATCCCCGCCAAAGGGACCCCGCCCTCATCCTCTTCAGGGGCGCGGCACGCCCAGGGGGCCGCTCCCTAAGGCCGATTTCCTCCCCGGGCTGCCCTCATCGGTGCTTGCACGTGTGTGAGCATCCGCCCATTTGCCGGTGCACGCGCATCTGTGTGCGTGTGTTTGTTTGCACACGCCCGGACGCGCGCTTACGAAAGCACAAAATCTCCCCAAGTGGGGAAGGAGGCGGCGGGACCTTAACTTGGTCCTCTGAGCCACTCTACTTGTTGGGGCGCCCTTATCTCGGCCCCAGCCTGTCTGCATCTCGGTCCCGTCTGCGAGGCTGCCGGTCCGGTTATCAGTTGCTGGCTTGACCCGGGATCTTTAATCATTCCTGCCCTCTGTCCTGGCTCCGCCATGCAGGGCTCCCTTCCCACACGCTGGAAATGTCGCTGGAAACTCTGAGTGGCGCTCGCCACCCCCCCCCCCAACACACGCACCCCCCGCCCGGACGCCAGCCCTGCGGTGGGGGCCGGGGAAGGCAGCTGGGAAACCAGAGCGAGCTCCCCAGGGACCCTCGGCGGCCCCTCCCGGCGCCGCCCGCGGCCGGCCCGGCCCCCTCGGCAGGGGGCCACTTCGTCCCCGCGGCGCGGCCCGACGGAGGGCACTCGCACGCCCCAGCTGGCCGGCCCGAGCCCCCGCCCCACAGGCTGGAGAGGGAGTCGTCGGCCCCTCCACCCTACCCGCGCGGCCCACAGCGCAGATTGGAAGGAGACAAACTGCGCCGCCCGCCCGCGCGCCTCTCGCGGTCCTCCCTCCCTGCGCGTGCCCTCCGCCCCGTCGATCTCCCTCTTCCTCCTCGGGCGCCCTGCCTCGCGGAGCCCGTCCTGACCCGGTCACGAGGGCGAGCGGCACAGCCCGGACTTCTCCCTGCCCTACCTTCTCGAGGGCCCGCCGCGGCCGCACCAGGCAGGAGCCGGGCAGAGATGCTCCTGCCCTCCCCGGCGTCCTCAGTCGGTGCCACCTGCTCGCTGGGGAAGGTAGGTGCCGGGAAGGGGAGGGGGCGGAGAGGAGGCGGGGGCCCGAGGGTGAGGAGGGACCCGTGCCCAACCCGAAGGGAAGGCAGAGTGCCCCTCCCCTGGGGGTCCTCGTCCCCATCTCCAGGGTAGAAAGAGGTGAAGTCCCCTCTCAATCTGGAAAAGGCGAAATTCGAGAAAACCTGTCTTTGTCCACGTGGGTTTGTAATTGGAAAATACCTGGAAAAGCTCCTAGGGCCAAGCCCCCAAGGTCATGGCCATACTTGGAGGTGGAAAGGAGTCTGCCAGCTACAAACAGTTGAGCGACTTCACATCTTCCAGCCCTTTGGGCAAAGGACTGCCAGAATTCTGGGAGGACCCCAGAGATTTCCTGGCACCTCTCTGTCCTCGGCCAGATGCAGGACCAATGCCTCCATGCCCCCATCTCTCTATGAGAAGTGGCTTTTAGTTTCTCCTGGCACAGCCACTGAGAGAAAAAGTGAGCCCACTCTTCCCCACGCACCCCTGTCTGTCTCTGGAGGTTGCCTGCCACAGGCAGCAGTTGGGGAGGGGCAAGCTAGGCCACCAAGGATCAGTAACCCCTGAAAATTGGATGGTATGGGGGAACATCCTGTCCTCCCCAAACTCCTAGAGGGCAGTTCTCATTGAGCAGCGAAGGGTGTGTCTGGAGGAGAGGGAAGGAGGCCGGGGTCAGCTGATGGTTGGGACTGCTGATGCTGACCTTGCAACTTGGCTTCACGCAGTCAGCTGGGAAGGGAGGGGTTGCTGCTAGGAACCAGCCTGCCTCCGGCCTCTGGATCTCCTGCTCTCCTCTGCCTCAATTTCCCCCTCAAGGGGAGGGAAAACAGCGGGAACTGGGGTGTGTCTGCATGTTTTGCTTTTGGTCGGAGTCCTAATTGGATCCAGCTGGTGAGCAGCCCCTCCTCCAGCCCCAGCCCTCACTCCCCCGCCCCCCCCCCCCCACAGCCAGGGATGAGCATGGAAAAGCTATGTCCCCAGTAGGTCTTTCAAATGTCAGAAGAAATCCCCACTCAGAACAGAGACAGGGACCTGTCACCAGCCTTGTCTGTAGCCTCCAGCCCTTGTGGCCTGAGCAGGAACTGGGTACAGAAGTAATCACAGTCCCCTATTGTAACTTCACCCCCTCTAGTCTCTACAGTTCTTGTGCTGCTCATATGAACCCCCATTGCATACCCCCCACTACCATTCAGTTGACATCCCTCTGTACCCACAACTCCCAAGCTGCTCACATACCTCCCAGCCCTGTGGTACCTCCCACAAGTCACATTCACAGCACTGTACTCCCATTCCACCACACACAAACACAGCACTTCACCAGGCCCTTTGGGCCTTCTCGTGAGCCCCCAAACCCCACAGGCACACGCAAGCCTAACTCTAAACACAAACGCCAGAATGGGTCCGGCCCCAGCAGTGGAGGTTGGCTCAGCTCTGGTCCAGTCCAGCTGCACAGGTGGGGAGGCTGAGTTCTGCACCACAGCCTGCAGGGTTGAAAAGCCCTGTTGGACAGCCTGACCACCTCCATCTCCTGGGTGCCTGGAGTAACCTTTGCATGGGAGAGAAGAACCAGGCCAGCCAGTCAGGCATGGTGCTGCCAGGAAGACCCACTGTTCAAAAACGCCCTCTGGAGGATAGGAGCACCTGGCTGGCTCAGCCAGTAGAGTGTGCGACTCTTAATCTTGGGGTTGTGAGTTTAAGCCCCATGTTGGGTGTAGAGATTACTTTAAAAAAAATCTTAAAAAACAAAACCAGCCTGGAGGTATAAAAGAAAGTGGTGTGTGGGGGTGGGGGACACTCAGCACCACGTCTCCATGAGCAAGTCCCACTTGGCTCCTATCCACTGTTTTGCTTTCCATCCCACCCCTCACTGGCCCCCTGAGTCCTCTGAGGCTTCAGTCCCAGGGAAGAAGGCCAAAGAAGGGAGCTGATACTCCTTTGAGCTCAGAAGGAGTGGTTCCTCCTGCCTGGAAATGCCCCCACACTCTCCCCCTCCCATAACCTTGGCCTTGCTGGGCAGTAGGCGGGGGGCCTTGCTGTTGTTCTGGGCCTCTCCCTCAGCCCAAGTAAGGCCTTGTGCCTGCTGGCAAGCAGATGCTCACGGAGGGACTGGAGGAGGCAGAGGCGCCTGGAACAAAGTCCTGAATGCCCAGGCCCTCCTGAGCCAGCTGCCCCAGTCCCCTCTGCCTTCCCTCTGGGGGAGCAGGCCACACTGTGCAGTGAGTAGGCCTGTGTGCCCAAGGCTTTGTCCAGCAGGCCCACTCCCCGCCAGCCGCCCTCCTCCTCCTCACTAGCCTCCCCTCCCCCACGCCCACCCCGAGCTCCTGCCCAGGCCTAATAAGCAGCCCTTTGTGCCTCTGGGGGCCGCCTGGGCAGCCCTCAGGCCAGGGCCCACAGAGGCCTGTTTCCTGGGTCCTTGAGCTCCCACACCGCTGCCCCCTCCCCGCCCCCAAGGTTGAGCCCAGAGGGCACAGGCGGCCGAGCCCAGCAGGGCTTCCCCTTCCTCCTTCCTTCCGCACAGAGGACACACAGACGAGCAGCTGGCACAGCCGGAGCCCCCCAACCTTGACCCAAGCATGCAGGCCCCACCCTGCAACCTCGCGGCTGGGCTCAGCCTGGACCACCTCCTCCCCGGCAATCTCCGGGCCCACGGAGGGTCGTCCTCCCGGGGGGCACGGGTGAGTGAGACAGTGAGGAGAGGGTTCCTGTGGGCCCGGGGTGGACGGGGACCTCCAAGGACAGGTGAGGGAGCAGGAGGATTAAAGGAATGGAGGGAAGGGGCAGAAGACAGCTCCAGAGAGCCTCACTGGCTAGCAGCAAAAGGGTCGGGAGGGCCCTCCAGCCCTCACCGTGGGGGAAACTGAGTCTGCGCTTGCCACCCTTCTGCGGAACCTTCGGGCCTGAGCTGCAGCTCCTGGCCCCTCCCGACAGGTGCCTGTGATCCGGAATGGTGGCTCCAATACCCTTAATTTCCAGTTTCATGACCCTGCGCCCAGGACCGTGTGCAATGGGTACATCCCCCAGAGGAGAGATGCTTCCCGGCACCCAGGTAGGTCTGCTCAGGAAAACCTGCTCCAGGAGCCCCATGTCGGGGGTGGGGGGATTAGAGCCTCCTGAGCCCTGCCATCTGGCACCACCCTGTGATGGGCAGGAGGGGCATGGAGGGCTCTCAAGGTCCCGGGCCTCTGAGCTCATCTAGCTGCCCTTCTCTGTGTGAACACTGATGGCCTGTGAGTGTGAAATCTGCTGAGGGAGAGAGCAGGCTGACACATCCCTTCCCTGCCAGGGGAAGGAAATGTGCAGGGGACACAGCCTTGGGAGGCACGGGGACCTCTAGCAGGTTGGGGAATAGCTTGGACTGGGGATGGAAGGGTGGAGGAATGTGAGCATATGTTGGCTGCAGAAAGAGCAGGGGCCAAACCCCACAAGTCTGTACTCACCAGCCAAGCAGAAGTTTGGAGAGGCAGCTCTGAGAGCCCGTCAGCCCCTGGGCTCCCACAAGTCATCCCAGCTTGGGCCATGGAGTCCAGAAGATCCCAGGACCTCCTGGGTGCAGGTCAACCCCTGGGACCCCTTTCCTGAGGAGGCAGACATCCTTTATTGAGCATCTCACTGAGGCAGGCCCTGTGTCAAGTAGTTTATTCATTTAACAAATAATTGTTGAGCCCTTAGAACATGTGGGACACTGAAAAGACACACTATAAGCCTTCTCTCATTTAATCCCTTGATGTCCTAGAAAGATAAGGTACAATTATCAAACTCTTCCCAGCGAGGAACCGGAGTCTCAGAGATGTTCAGTCATAGAGTCCGAGCTGAGATTCAACCCTGGTCCTTCCAGCCCCAACGCTCTTATGCTGCAACTCTGGTGACTTGGGGGCTGAAGGTTCTGGGGAAGTTGAGGACACAGTCACCATGTCTGGTGAATGAGTTTCTATCCCTCTTCAAGAGCCTTGTGACTGTGTGTCAGACACTGTGCTAGGCATGGTCATACACACCAGATCTCTCTGGATGTTTGCCATGATTACCCTCGTTTTACAGAAGTGGAAACAGAGGCACCAAGAGGTTGCTTGCTGTGCCCCAGGTCACATGGCCAGTAGGTGGTAGAGCTGGTGTCTGAATTCTTTGTCCCCCCTTCAAGCCCAGTGTCTTTTCTGCCACACCCTGCTGCCTTCCCAGCTAGGATTGTCCCCAGCATTCTCTGCAAGTAATGATTCCCAGCCCTCATTCTGAAGGCTTTTAGGACAGCCCTCAGAAAGGATAGGGCAGACACGGGCACAGATTTCTCAAAACAAAATCCATTTTCATTTACTTTAACTAAAAAATAAACAAAGGCCTCTGGTCCTGCAGGGAATGGGGAAGGCTGTAGAGTCTGTCTCATCAAGTCAAACAAACAAGATGTTGAAACTTTTGAACCCACGGGATCAATGTTCTGAAGAGCTAAGAGACAAACAAGTCCAGGTGGGGCCCCTGCCCATTGCTAATGCTCTGCTGCTCATTCCCTACAGACCCTGCTTGGTATCAGACCTGGCCCAGTCCTGGCAGCCAGCCCTCGGGGAGCCAGAAGACCCCTGCCTCCCAGCATCCCCAGAACTGGTCAGCCACATGGACCAAAGACAGCAAGCGTCGGGACAAGCGCTGGGTCAAATATGAGGGAATCGGGCCTGTGGATGAGAGCGGCATGCCTATTGCCCCCCGATCTGTGAGTCCAGGGCTGGGGGCCACTGATGATGGGGCCCAGGGACCTCATGCTGAGCTCCACTTCTGTGAATTAAAGTGGGAGCAACGAAGAATGCACCCAAACCATTTCAGACTAAAGCAGCGGTTCCACCATGATGGGTGGAACCACATAAATTACAGGCGCTCTTGTGGTCTGAGTTGCACAAGTGGTCTGTTGGGGGAAAGGGAGATCTAGAATGCTCCCCCAGGTTCTCAGAGGTGCAGAGCCCCTGCTGTAAGGGCTGCCCCGGGGAAGGGACCCCCTCTGTTCATAGCCCCAGGGCCTGGCACAGCCACTAAGTGAATGACTGGGCTGAATGAGCCGGCAGAGTCCTGAGTGAGATGCCCTCACACTGTGGCAGGCTTGGAAGGATCCAGAGCCCAGGCTCTGAGGGCCCTGCCCTTCTTCCAGCCGCCTGCCTTCAGTTCTGCATCTGAAAGTGAAGTAGGTAACCTACCTCCCAGGGCTGTTTTCAGTCTCAGCTGTGAAATGCCATTCTACCCCTATATTATTGCATTTATTTGTCATTACATAGAAATACATGTTTGTTGTAGAAACATCAGAGATATAGGAAAGCAAAGAGAAAAAACAGAAATCACCTCAAATCTTACAGCCTCGGGATAGATCATCACTGAGGGAGATCCTTCTCTACACCTTATTCATATGTAATGTGCCATATGAAGTTACTTTATTAGACCTATCACAACAGCCCGCCCACTTCAAGGGTGGTCAGAGAAAGGACTCAGCAAGGAAAAACTTCTGTGGCTTCCTATTAAGAAGGTGGCCTGACTTTGTCTTTTCTGATCCCAGAGTGTTGATAGCCCCAGGGACTGGTACCGGAGAATGTTCCAGCAAATTCACCGGAAAATGCCAGGTGAGACACCCTTCTAGGGCCCTCTATCTGCTGAGTGGGCTCCAGCCCCTGGGGCTGGGGTACGGAGGGGCAGAAAAGGGAACTTAGCCACTCTGGGAGGTCTTCTCCACCCACCCCAGGCTCTGTGGTGGGTCCTCCCTAAAACAGGCCAAAGGGGAGGAGTCTCCAAACTCTTTTCTGTCCTTGGGAGGACAATGACGAGACACTGTCCCTCGTCTCCTCTGACAGTACTGGGAAGCCATGCAGTCACTCATTTGTTCAATCAGTCCCCTGACCATCTATTGAGCACTTACTGTGTGCTGAGCACTATTCTAGGTGCTGAAGATGAAACGGAATAAAAAAGAATGTCACTTCCCCAGTGAAGCTTAAGACAGAAGGAGAATAAACAGATACATATTTAATATGGCAGATGGTCGTAAGGGCAAGGGAGAAAAAGGAAAGGTCAGTGCCCAGTGCAGACTGGTGAGGGAAGGCCCTGATAGGTGGCATTTGAGCGGAGAGCTGAGGGAGGGAAGGAGCCAGCCCTACAGAGCCAGGGGAGGAGCCTGGCAGCAGGGGGAGCAGCAGAGACCCAGGGGCAGAAGCAGACCTGGCCGGTTCTGGAGCAGCAAGGAGAGGCTGGACTGGAGTGATAGGGGCATTGGTGGGAGACGGAGTCAGAGTGACAGGATCTGGTCACGGAGGGCCTTTGGGGCCCTGATCAGGGCTTTGGCTTTTACTGTGCAAGAGCTGAGGAGCCAAGGGGAGGTTCTGAGCACGGAAGAGTGACATGCTCTGAAGGCTCACTCTGGCTGCCAGCTTGGGTGGGAGATGAGGCAGTGAAGGACACAGCAGACCACTTAGAGGGCCTGGCTTTCATCCAGGCTAGAGGCCGACAGTGTCTCAGACCAGAGCAGTAGTAGTGGGCCTGGTGGGATTCTGGAGACAGTCATGAGAATTGGCTGATAGAGTGGATGTGGCATGAATAAAAGAAGTCAAGGATGACTTGAAACCTGAGCAAGTCAAAGGATGTTGCTTCCAAAATCAGGGAGGACTGAGGGAGTTACGGTCTAAGAGGCATTCAGTTTTCGATGAGGTCCATCTGGTTGGAGATGTCAAGTAGGCAGTTAATATGCAAGTCTGTAGTTCAGGGGTGAGGCTTAAGCTGCAGATGGAAATACCTGGGATTCACTCAAAAAGATTTTGATTGAAAGCTCCCCAACTAATTCTAATGTGAATCCCTGCAATAGATGGGTTTTTTTAAGCCAGAAGACTAGACAGGATCACCTGGGTAGATAGACAGAGGCCCAAGCACTAAGCCCTGAGGCACTTGGATGTGTAGAGGTTTGAGAGATGAGCAGAAGTCAGCCAAACAGACTAAGAAGGTACAGCAGAGAGGAGAACCAGAGTTGTCTTCCTGAAGCGACATGAAAAAGGAATTTCAAGGAGGAATGAGCCACTGTGACAGATGTTGCTGATGGGTCAAGTATTTTGATTTGGTAACATGGAGGTCACTGGCGTCTTTCTTAAGCGTGATTGGGGCAGTCGTGGTGAGGCTGAAAATTTACTTACGGGAAAGGGGAATTGGAGACAGTGAATCTGTTATGGCCAACTCTTTGCCGCAAAGGAAAACAAAACAATGCCGGAGCTGGAGGACGGTATGGGATCTGGAGAGAGGCATTTTGGTCTGGATTTAAGACAGGTGCTGTTGTGGCACGTGTGCATGCCAAGGGGATCAAGTGGGTTGGCGGGTCAGTAGCTTTTCCTAGGAGGCCCCGGAAAGTCATGAGCGCCATGAGGAGTGGATCTGGGCAGAGGGGGAAGGACCAGCATTGAGAAGAGGGTGCAGAAAGGGAAAGAGGGAGAAGGAGAAGTGGAATTTCCCTAACCTGACTTGGTGAGGGCCGGTTTACAAAGGTCAGGGGAAGGGTGTGTGTGGGAACGCAGGGAGGGAGGAGCAGGAGGGTTTGGGCAAGTCCACTGCCTGGGTTGGCTCACTCAGACCCTAAGTCTGCCAGAGGCATTTCAAACCCTCCAGAGAACTGCCCTCCTAATTCCTTCCCTCCCTCGGGACATTCTTCAGGCCCTGACTCAGCCCCTTGTCCCCTGCCCTAGGCAGGAGGACGGCTGGGAGCCGCTGAGGCAGCCTCCCGGGGCTCGCCATCCTCGCTTGCTGCCCCACCCCTGATCTGGTCCTTTCTGCTCCCGCAGACCTGCAGCTGGACTGGACCTTTGAGGAATCACCCAAAGGTGAGGGGGGCGGGTGGCCCGCCCCAGCTCAGTGCCTGCATTTGCCCATCTTGTAAGCCAGGCCTGGCTTTGAGGCTCCCCAGTTGGCTTAGTTCAACCTGAGAAGTTTGTGTAGCCCATTTCCGGTGAGCTCCAAATTCCCTGGGAGGTGGCAGTGAAGAGCCTCGGCTTCACTGTCCAGCGGGTGTCCTTGCCCTGGCTGTGATTTCTCTGGGCTTCTCTATCCTCGTCTGTAAAATGGGGACACTACCTACCCCAGAGTTGTGAAGGTTTAGTGAGGAGTGTAAAGCTTTTGGTGCAAAGCCCCCATAGCGTGGTCCAGGGCACCCCCAACCCTGTTCCCACAGCCACGCAAGAGCATGTGTGGGAGTGGGTGCCAGAATCTTCAGTGCTCACCCAGTACCCTCAAGCTGGGCTCTCACCTCCCCTGGCCTGTCTTCTCCCACCTTCAGTGTCTTCCTCCTGTGCCGCCTCTACAGACTCCAGGCATCCAGGGCCCCAGCAAAGACCGGTTGCCAGGCCAGGCCAGGCCTCTTCTCTGAGTGGGTGAGTCCTCCTGAGAAAGGGGCCCAAGGGCTGCAGAGGGAAACTGGCTTCGTGGCGGGGACTGGCGCCCCCTGGTGGCCACAGCCAGTACAGCCTCTCCCCCCACCCCATCTCGCAGCTCTGCTCCTTCTTAGGGTCCCCACCATTCCAGATACTCTCTCTCTCCCTGCCAGGGCCAAAGGGGAGTGGTGGGCAGGGGTGGACTTTGCACCCATTCCTGGTCAGGAATGCTTGCGTTGCTTTTGTGGTTGGCGCAGGAACTCATCACGCCAAAGATCCACAGGTCATAATGGGGTGAAGAGTGGGGTGGCCCGTGGCTAGGTGTGGACCTGTGGCCATTCACTCCAAAGCCTGAGAGAAAACAAGGGGTGCAGAGGATCCTAACTTTCCTCCCAAGAGGATCCGACTTTCCTCACACTTCCACCTAAGTGAAGGATGGATCCCTTTGCTCTGCACAAACCACACAAGCCCAGCCCAGGCTGCCGGGGCCCTGAGGGGGCTCAACCAGAACTTGAGAATCAGCAGCTTTGCCTCAAAGTGAAATCAATGAGTTTCTTATTCCTTTACAGGAAGGTATTAACCTCAAGAACGTGGCCATACCTGGCCTGTGGCTCTTGGCATCATTAATAAGATAGAGGCTAAGAGCTCAAGAGTTGAACGCAGAGTTCGGATTTAAGCTGGTGCACTTCCATGCGACCTTGGGCAACTTAACCAGTCTCAGCTCTCTGCTGAGCGGGGACCACACCGTGGTTGTGAGGGTTTGGGCACATAGCAAGTCTCTACGTGTTATTATTTTTTAAAGATTTTATTTATTTTTTTGAGAGAGAGACACAGAGAGGGAGTACGAGCATGAGTGGGGAGAGGAGCAGTGGGAGAGGAGCAGAGGCAGAAGGAGAAGCAGACTCTCCGCTGGGCAGGGAGCCTGACATGGGGCTCCATCCTGGGACTCCAGGATCATGACCTGAGCCGAAGGCAGACATTTAACCAACTGAGCCACCCAGGTGCCCCTCCACGAACATTATTAATATACGGGCTCAACTATGACCAGAGCTTCCCTAAATTAGGAATGATGTATTCTATTCTCATTGTCAGTGGTATTGCTAATATTTTTATTTCTAAAATAGAGAATAGAGTCATAGTTACAGCCAATAAATCCTGACCCTCCGGTCAGACATTCCATCATTTGATAATCTTGGTACAGTGGTGGAAACATTCAGACTCAACAGTCTGGAACACTTAAGCCAGCCAAGAAAGGAGCCTTGGAGGGGAACGAAGGCAAACGTGAGAGTGTGGAGCCTTGGTAGCTGGAGTGGTTTCACAGATGACATCACTGAATGCAGCACCCCCAGGGAACTGGGGCGCAGGGAGCAAAAATAGCTTGCCCAGGGCTCCCGAGTCAGGGCTGCAGGCCCTTTGCCCTACCCGGGATTCTCCTCGGACTAGGATGTAGACCCACCCACACCCTTGGGCATGTGTGCAAGACCACTCCACTGAGACAACCTGGAAGACCAGCTTCCTCAAAGCTGCACAAACATACATAGCCACAGCCGTGGGGCCAGACTGAACACGCACGTAGGGTATTTCACTAAGGCCAGTAGGAAGGGACTGGCCACTCATGGAGCAGATGCACGTGTTAGGCCTTCTCCTGGGCATCTCACATATGTTCCCTCACCGGAGCTTCACCGCACCCTCACGAAGGTGGGACTCCTCATATTATAGGTATTGAATCTGAGGCTCTGAGAACTCAGTAACTTGCCAAAAGACCCCAGCTAAGTGATGAAGCTGGCACTTGAACTCCGAGCACATAACTCTCCACTGTGCAACACTGTTTTCACAGGCTGGAGCCAGTAGCAGGGGGCAGGGGGTCGTGGTAGCATGTGCAGGGCTGTGTTCTCACTTATGCCTTAGTCTCCCTAAAAGGAAACTGAAGAGATGTCCTCCCCTTTCTTTAGAAGACGCTGGGACCCCTCTGAAGAGTTTCCTAGAAGCACCTTCAACTGTAATCCTGGAGCATCCTCCCTACACCAGACCCCAAATCAGGTACCCTTCCCAGCATCCTCCCCTCACTGCCCCTGGCACTGTGCTCTTTGGCCAGGCCCCTCTGCTGAAGAGTAGGATAATGCCCTTTCGGTTTGGAGCCTGTCCTGTGCAGCCAGGAGAGCCCAGAATCCTTAGGAAGGCACTGGCAGGCAGAGGGGTGAGGCAGTGGCCTACAAGCCTGCTTTTGGAGCCTGAAGAGTGTCCTGGTACCCCTCTGCTCAAGCTGATGCCCACCTACTTCCATGCAGGTGCCCAGACGCCAAGAGAAAGCAGACAATGTCTGGACGGAAGATTCTTGGAACCAGTTCCTGCAAGAACTAGAGACTGGACAGAAGGTGAGTGTCCTGCTAGCCCTCTGAGAGTGCACATACTCCTTGGTTAGTGCATTTTGGAATCCTCCCCCTCTGACTCACCCTTCCCACCCTTAGCCCAAGAAACTGCTAGTGGATGACCCTGTTGAGAAGCCCTCCCAGCCCATTGAGGTGAGTGCTGCAGGATATGTTGGAGGGGGAGGGAGATAGCTATGCTCGGGGACAAATGAGGGAGACTTCTGGGTGGTTGTTGGCCCCAGTGACCATGGGCGGAGGCCAGAGACCCAAAGCTCTGACTCTCTCCAGTCCCATACAGTTTACCTCTGTATCCCCAGCACCTGGGACAGTGCCTGGCATACAATACGCACTCAAATATGTGTTGAATACATGTCTATTGACCAAAGTGGGAGCAGAGAAGGGAGTGGTCAGTGTGGACTTGTATTCTTGGAGGTGGAGCTGGGAGGGCTTGGCCAGGCAGAGAGAGAGAGAGCACGTGCTCAGTGTGGAGGAGTGCAGAGACAAAGGCTGGAGGGACAGTGGAAGGGAAAGCAGGTGGGGTACAGGCTGTGGAAAGCCATAGAAGACTTGATGAGAGAGGAAGTGGGGAGCTTTATGGGCTCTCCAACAGCAAAGTAACAGGACAAAAGGCACTATCAGGAAGTACTAAGGTACTATCATGGGAATAGGGATGGGTGAGCTGGACCGATGAGAGGGCCAGTGAGAAGCTGTGGAAGGGCGGTCCTGACACCCTGAGACACAGCTCTGGGCAGGCCCACAGGCAGGGAGCCTGTCCTGGCCCTGTGCCCTGAGCCTGCCCTTTACCCAAGCACAGTGTGCTTTGCTTTGTCCTGATGCCCACTAAGTTTCTCACATCTGACCTTCGATCAGTGCTCCCCCACTGTGCCCTCCACCGCCCCCCCCCCCACTGCCCAAGTCTCTCCCCATAATCCTCCCCCAGGTCTTGCTGGAGAGAGAGCTGGCCAAGCTGAGTGCAGAGCTGGACAAGGACCTTCGGGCAATTGAGACCCGGCAGCCGTCCCACAAGGTACCGGCCTCCCAGTCCCCTCCTGGGTGACTCTGGGACCCGGAGTCCCCCCGCACAGCAGCGGAGCGTGGGTGGGAGGGGCAGGCAGAGCAGAGGTGTCGCCTCCAGCCGCACTCGGCACGACCTTGGACGGACTTCATCCCTGACTGCTGTCTTCCTTTACAAAATGCAGGGCGTTGACTTTTCCAAATGACCCCTAAGAACCCTTCCAGGCCGATTCCACGTCAGCCTGACGTCCGGGTGCCAAGGGCTCCCCGCCCCCACCTCGCCCCGCCCCCCCCACCCCCGACCTCAGTCCGCAGGGACCCCAACCCTTACCCGGCCCCGGTTTCCTGGGCCGGCCTCCCCTCTTCCGCCACCCCACAGTCCCCCCCCCCCCCGCTCCTCGGCTCCTCCTGGGCTCCCGGCCCGCCCGCCTGTGCGGGCGACTCTAGGACCCCGCGTCCCTCCTACCCCTCCCCACCCCGCCTGCCCTTCCAAGCCGCAAACTTTTCCGGAGGCGGCGGCGCCGGCTGCCACGGGGACCCCGCGTCCCTGACCGCGCCCCGTCTCCCCTCACAGAGCTCCCAAGTGCCCCGACGGTCCCGGGAGCCGCGGCCCCCCGCGCGGTGAGTGGCCGGGCCGGGCGCGGGGGACGTGGCGCGGGGCGGCGGCGGCCTCGCAGGGAGGGGGCGAGCCCCGCGGAGGGCGCGGGAGGAGGGGCCTGGAGGCCGGCGAGTGGCCGCGGAGGGCAACTGTCCCCGCCCGAGGATTGGGTGGCCCCGGCCGGCGGCCTCGCGCTTCCCACGCGCCCTCCTGCCTCCCGCGGCCCCAGGCCGCACCCTTTCCCGGCGGCGACTGCTGGGGAAGTAGGACATCCTGTTGAGAGCCCGGGACGTGGGAGACGCCTTGGGAGGAGGCGGCGGGAGACGGGGAGACTTTCGGGCGGCAGGGGTGAGTGGCGTAGGGTGTGAGGCCTCAGACAGGTGGCTCACACACTGTGTCCCCGCGCAGTCCGGCCCCCGCCTGGAGCTCCAGTTCCCCGAATGCACTTTACCGGGGTTCCTCCCGGCCCCTGAGCCCCCACAGAATGGCGGATGGAGCAAGCCCCTTCCTAGGTCGTAGGGACTTTGTCTACCCTTCCTCGGCTCCAGGTAAGGACCAGATCCTGCTCTTTTTCTTATCCAGAGGCCCGCCACCGTGCAACCGAATATGCTGGTGCCCCGTGCGGCTGGGGTGGGGCTGGGGTGGGAGGAGGACGGTCACAGAGCCCCCTCTTAACACTGGCCCTGTGCTGGGGTGGGGGGGAGCAGAACCCCATCCGAACACCCCGCCCCAGACATGGCCTTCCCAAGCTGAGGTAGCGCTTTTTCACAGACCCTAATGCCTCTGAACGAGGGGGCAGCCCAGCCAGGAAGGAAGAGAAGAAGGTAAGGAGGGGTGGGAGCACTAGGGTAGGGTGCATGGGGATCTGGGGTGGTTCTCGTGATGGCTGTTCTAGACCTGCCACCTGTTTGACTAAGGTGACTCCCTCTGTCCTCTCCCCCTGCCCAGAGGAAGGCTGCCAGACTCAAGTTTGACTTCCAGGCGCAGTCCCCCAAGTAAGTGCCCTTCTCTCCAACCCCCACCCCCAAATGTCTGTGCACCCTATGGGAGGAGAGGGAGGACAGGGCTGCTACAGCCTCCCGCAGAGGGTGGAGGAGACTCTGGGTGCACTAGACAGGGTCTGAAGGGAAGGAGGATTGGGAGGACCTCACCTTGCTGGATATCCTTGCTCTGGCCTGCAGGGAGCTGACTCTGAAGAAGGGTGATATTGTCTACATCCACAAGGAGGTGGACAAGAACTGGCTGGAGGGGGAGCACCATGGCCGGCTAGGCATCTTCCCTGCTAATTATGTGGAGGTAAGCAGAGGAGCAAGCAGGAGCCCAGCTGGGAGGGTGCATGGGTTTGCAGAGACTTAGAGTGCATACCCCTTTATCCCTGCACGGCCCCTCTGTGGAGCTGATTGCTCCTCCACATCTTACAGGCTTCCTGGTAGGTAAAACTGTGAACTCCAGGGGGCAGGGGCCAAGTCAGCCTCATTCATGCCCTCGGCCCCCCGCACGGTTGGGCCCAGTGCTTTGCCTGCACTCAGGACATGTTTCTTAAATGAGCGCCAAAGGTGGAGCCCAGCCCATGGAGAACCACATGACCCCGCTTCTGCACCAGAGGCCACCAGCCCAGACTGTCACCATTCAGCATCCGTCTCTCTCACGCTGTCTTTGGGAAGGATCCTGGGGGCAACTGCCAAGAGCAGGAAGTGTGTGACAGCTTACAAATCACACATACATTCATCACTTCCTTTGTGTGTATTACCTCCCTTGTTCCTCTCATTAACCTGAGAAGGGACCAGTCATCCCCATTTTACAAATGTGTTTGCTAAGGTTTGGAGACAAGTGGTTAAGTACAAGACCCAGAAGTGTCTGGCTGGCTCAGTCGGTAGAGCTTGCTACTCCTGATCTTGGGGTTGTGAGTTCGAGCCTCGCAATGGGGGTAGAGTTAACTTAAAAATATGGTATCAGCATTTAATGATATAAATTTCCCTCTAAGCACTGCTTTACCTACACCCCATAGATTTGGATTTTTTTTTCATTCAACTCTATTTTCTTATTTCCTTTGTGACTTCCTCTTTGACCCATGGATTGGGTTGTTGTTTAATTCGGGCTCTCAATTTGACAAGCATCAGTAGGCCTCCCCTACCTTCAGAACAGTCACTCTGATTCTGAAATTCCACAAAGTATAGCCAGTATTCCATCGTATCAGTAATTTACATCTTAGTATGAACTAGTTTACTAGCTTCTTGATTTTTTTATGAGTAGGATGAAGCAAAGAGAATATGGGGATTCTGGGCACTGGGTGGGGTAGAAGGGAGGGGAAAGAGGGATACTTGGTTCTTAGCAGTGGTAAAATGTTAGATCCCCACTTTCAGATCAGATTACCAGGTGTGTGCTGCTTTTTGGAATTCCTCATTTACTTCTGGGCTCCAATTTAAGCTGTCTCTTAGGACTGGCTTCCATCTTGGCTCTGACATTGCCTACTCCACACGTCTAGGGGAAATTCTTCCTCCGGTAGCCTTCTGCGACTAACCACCCCTTGGCTCTGCTCACCCCAGCCACCCTCCAAGCTTGTGTCTGGTGTCCACATCCTCACTGGCTTTGGGGGCAGATCACGCCCATACCATCGTCTCTTTGTTACCCTCCCAGGAGCCCCAGGTCTGTGCCCGGTTGATGCCTGGGCTGAGTCTTTCTCATGACCTTTCTTCCTATAGGTGCTACCTGCAGATGAGATCCCGAAGCCCATCAAGCCCCCAACCTACCAGGTGCTGGAGTATGGAGAAGCTGTGGCCCAGTACAATTTCAAGGGAGATCTGGAGGTGGAGCTGTCCTTCCGCAAGGTTCGGCCCTGCAGGAAGGGGGGGGGGGGCGCGGGGCGTGTGAAGACATAGGTAAATATGTGTAGCGTCAAGTGTACCCATCTTCACCCAGTATTTGAAATTTTTCCTCATCTCTTTGGATATGTTTCCCTTCATTTAGCCCATTTTTTAAAAAGTTTGAAACTAGAGTAGTTGCATTTGTTTTTTTCAGTTGCAGGTTGGTAGGCTGTGAGGATCACAGTCAGCATTTTTAGAAGAGCAGAATGGAAATGTTAGAATGTCTTGCATATAGAAAGGGTATTTGGTCAAACTTTTAAGCAGTTACATATATACCCATGGACATGTGCGTGTACAGGCTTGTTATTAGGACATATTTTTTGCTATAGACCATGGTCAAGGTAAGTTTGAGAAATGTCCTAGAAAGCAGGGAACTGATCTCCCTTTCGTTGTTTTTTGGGACAGAGGCCATGCATGCCCCTTGTGAATGTCCTCCGGAAGAGCTGGCCCCAAGGAGAGAGAGGGAAAGGCTGGGTGGAAAGAGGTGGGGGGCAGGAGAGGGCTGGAGACCACCCTCCCCAGGGCCGCCTCACCTCATGTCAGCAAGCATGTTGGCTGGAGGACACATTGGCCGCCCTCGGAGAGTTCGTGTTTTGATGCACTGGTGATGGATCACCCAGCGAGGAGGCAGGGACAGGACCGTATCGTGGCAGTGGTGGCTCATGCCTGTCCAGTGCTTCCTACCAGTCTGCCACTGATCTCCTTTGCTCCTCACAGCAACAGGATTGTTATCCCCACTAAACACCTGAAGAAACTAGGCTCAGAGAGGCAAAGTAACTGGTCCAGGGCTGAACAACTTGGAACTGGCAGAGCGCAATTTGTTAATAGCCACCAGAACTCTAGGGACCAGAACTCTGGGGAGAGGATAATGTGAAGTCCAAGGAGTAGGTGTCGGGTAGGCTTCTCAAAGAGGCCGGCCTTGATCCACACCCAGTGAGGCACGTTGTGGGAAGAGCCCCAACTTCTGGGCTCCCTCAGGCAGCCTGGCCTCGGCTCCTGACTCTACCATTGCCTTGTGATGTGACTGTGACTTCCTGCTCACCTGCTCAGAGCTGGCTCGCTTGCGCAAGGCGCCAGGTCTACATGAGACAGCCCCCCGGGCCTCCCGAGGGCCTTGCAGATGCTCATGGCCTTCTGCACCCCCAGGGGGAGCGCATCTGCCTGATCCGCAAGGTGAATGAGAACTGGTACGAGGGGCGCATCTCAGGCACGGGGCGCCAGGGCATCTTCCCCGCCAGCTATGTGCAGGTGTACCGCGAGCCCCGGCTCCGTATCTGTGACGACGGTCCCCAGCTCCCTGCGTCTCCCCGCCTGACCACTGCCCGGCTGGCTCATCACTCCAGCTCCCCGTTAACGCCGCACAGCCCAGTGGATCCCACCGACTGGGGGAACCGGACCTCCCCCCGCCGCACCGGCTTCTCCTTCCCCACCCAGGAGCCCAGAACCCAGACCCAGGTAAGGTGACCTGCCTCAGACTGGAGAGCTGATCCCTGCTCCTCACACTATTTCCTACGTTCCTTTGGTGGATTTGCACTTTGGAATCCTTCCTGGTGTGCCCCAGGACAGAGCAGTGGGAGAGCAGGGCAGAGCCACCCTAGCCTTGTGGCCCTCACACCCATGAAGTTGGTTTTGGCCCTTGAGCTGCAGTTACAGCTGGGAGAGGCATGGGGCAGCCAGCCAGCTCTAGGTGTGACCCCAAAGACAGCGCAGGCCTCCTGACCCTATAGACTCCACTCTCGTGATCTGCCTATATCAATTTCTGGGACACAGTCATGAGGGAGTCAGAAGTCTGCCATTCACCTGCTGTGTGACCTTGGGCAGATGACTTACCCTCTCTGGATTGGGTTTTCTCAGCTGTGGAATGGGGTAGTTTGAACTAAAAGTTTGTAGTAGCTGATGGGTAAAAGACTTCATTGGTCCTCATACTGAGGTAGGCCGTAAACAAGGGCCTTCTCTCTTGTGCTCTTCCATTCTCTCAGCAAACCAATGTGAGCCGGCACAGCTAGTGCACGGACGCCTCCCATCCCCTCCCATGTGCTGGCCGTTAGAATCAGCCTCCTACCCTCCCTGGGCCTCAGCTTCCGAGCACCTGTGAAGTGAAATGATCAAACAGACCTCTTTGTGTCACGGGGTTTGAGAGGATAAGATGGGGACAGGATGAGAAATGCTGCTCCAGGGAAGGTGGGGGGGGGGGGCCGTGGCACTCTCCTCCCTCCCTCATGCTTTTGTGTGCCTGCCTTTCCTCCTGTGGACCCCCAGAGCACCCCTGGGTCAGCTCTGTCCCATCCTGGAGGCTCCAGCCGTCCCCTGGACCTGGGGATGCCCCCCAGCACCACTCAGATACACTGGACTCCGTGAGTACCATCTGGGGATGCTTGGTCAGGGGTGGCATGTTGCTTGGCAGGCAATACTGAGCACACTGACGCCCCCGTAGCCTGCCCCTTCCCCCCTAAGATGGATTTGGAAAACTCCTACCTCTGGCACTTAGGGATGATTTGGTAGGGGGCCACTTGTCTGTGATGGGCCTGACCTGTCCCAGCCAGCCCTATAGCCTTAAAGCAAGCCTCCCACTCTCTGTCCCTTGGCCTCAGCCTCCTCTCTGGGTTTCCAGCCCTGAGGTCAGTGAGTGTATGTGTGAAGTGTGCGAACTGGTAGAACAGACTTGAAGGCAGTGGGAGCTCCGAGGAGGAGGTGTTGGGGTGGGTAGGGCTCGGAGCACAGGGAGCAGGCCGGGGAAAGAATGCATTGAAGCCAGACGGAGTCACCTTTCTTGGAGCTGGGCCAGGGGATAATGGGGTCATCTGGAAAATTGAGGGGATGTAGCAACACTTGGGTTAGACTCTCTGGGCCTGACCGGAGGCAGGGGCCAGGCTCCAGTGGTTGCCATGATGCTGTCTCCCACAGGTATCGGGCCATGTACCAGTACAGGCCCCAAAACGAGGATGAGCTGGAGCTGCGGGAGGGAGACCGGGTGGATGTCATGCAGCAGTGTGATGACGGCTGGTTCGTGGGTATGTGGGCCTGGTGGGTGGGCTGCGGGGTCGGCCAGAGGGGCCTGGTGGGTGGGCTGCGGGGTGGGCTGGAAGGGGCCTGTGGGTGGGCTGCGGGGCAGACCGGAAGGGGGCTGTGGGTGGGCTGCGGGGCAGACCAGAAGGGGGCTATCTGTGAGTACCCCAGCGGGATAGCTGGGGGCAGACCAGAGGGAGTATCTTAGGGTGCTGGGGGCCAAGTCAGAAGGGGACATCTTGGGGGTTGCCGGGGAGGTTTGGGTGGGCTGCCACGGCCTGCCAATGCTGGTTCAGCCAAGATTCATGTCTGATAGACGAGGCCAGGGTCATTGATGAGGTCGGTATAGACTCGGGGCAGCAGGTTTCCTGACCCTCACACCCCTGCTCCTTCCCACCACACACTTGTCTCTGGAGCAGTTTTGGGGGGAGGGGCCTGTCTCCTGAGACACTAAGTTCCTGATGGAAAGGACCAAGTCTCACTCACACCCATGCATCACCCACCCCCACCCCCAGTTAGCCGCTGGCTCCCCAGTCCACAGGGCTGGCCCTAGGGCAGCTCAGGCAAAGGACTAAAGCAGGAAGCCTCAAGTTGGCCTTGGCCTGGTTCAAGGTGACCAACCCAGCAGGCTTCACATGGCCTTTTTCCTCTGAGTGGGCAGGGCCATATAGGCCTCCGCTCCAGGGGAAGGGGCCATCCTCAAAGAGTAATGAGCAGCCAGAAGCCCTTCCCACTGCAGAGCTTAAAGGGTGGCAAGGCTGCTTGGGCAGAGGGGGCCCTAATGGCAGTCTCTTGACCTGGCAACCCATCCTTTCTCATCTGAATCCTAGCACGTCATTGCTGACCAAGTTTTAGACACACCAGTGATTATGGAGTGCTAACTTGTTAACGGTTCTTGCCTTGGAGGGGTGGGCTTGGGGGCACATTCTCATTTTACTCTGTACACCTCTGCATTTGAATTTTTTTTTTTTTACCACTCACAAAGTTTTGCAAATATAGACAAGAAGAAAAAGCACCACTTTTGTGGTATTAAAACCACAAGTGCTTTTAGAGGAAAGGTTTAGAAAGTTCAATGTCTTAGTCACACTAGCACATTTCTTTATTTTTTATTATTTTTTAAAGATTTTATTTACTTATTTGACAGAGAGACAGCACAAGCAGGGGGAGCTGCAGAGGGAGAGGGAGAAGCAGACTCCCTGCTGAGCAGGAAGTCCTATGTGGGGCTTGGTCCTAGGACCCTGGGATCATGACCTGAGCCAAGGCAGACGCTTAACCAACTGAGCCACCCAGGTGCCCCCACATTTCTTTTTTTTAAAGATTTTATTTATTCATTTGACAGAGAGAGTACAAGCAGGGGGAGGGGCAGGCAGAGGGAGAGGGAGAAGCAGACTCCCGACTGAGCAGGGAGCCTGAGGCAGATGCTTAACCAACTGGGCCACCCAGGCGTCACCACACCAGCACATTTCAAGTGCTAAGTAGCTACATGTGGCTAGTGGTTATCACTTCAGATAGTGCAGGCAGGGAAGGCTTCCTGGAGGAAGTGGGGGAGCTAGCCCTTAAGGGGCAGGTGAGGCAACCCAGGCAGTGGGACAGTATCGGCAAGGCCTGGGGGCAGGGTGAGCATGGGCTGCTCATCAGGAAGTCAGGATGCCAGCCTGCCAGGAAGGGAAGGTTCAGGACTTTAATTTCATTTTACATTCCTGTATCTTCTAGCATTCTCTCTTCTCCACTCCAGAGCATGGGTTTCTTTGGGGTTGTAGCAGACCAGAGGACAGGATTTTACTCCCGCCTCTATCCCTAAGCAACAGAGTACTTTTGGGGAATTCACTTGGCCTTCTCTTTAGGCCTTGCCTGCCTGTCCCATGTCTAAATTGAAGGTGAGACCAGTGAGTTTCCTCCACATTTAAGTTCTGGATTCAACCTCCGGCTTCCTTGCTTTCCTGAGGAAGGTGGGGTAATTCAGTGCTGTGTGCCAAGTTATAGGGGACCCAAATTCCCAAGTCCTTGAATTAGGAAGTGTAGCTTTGCCCCTCTTCCCACTAGGGGGCAGAAGTGAGTAAAACAAATCCTCCGTCCCTGGGACAGGGACTCCACCTGCAGTTCTGGGCACTGCCAGTAGGGGGAAGGTCCCTCACCCCCACATTCCTACTCAAGAAGTCTGGGGAATGCCTTTTATATGCCTTTTCTCTTTTTTTCTTTCAGGTGTCTCCCGAAGGACCCAGAAATTTGGGACATTCCCTGGAAATTACGTAGCTCCGGTGTGAGTGGTCTCCGTGGCAACTCAGAGCCCAGCCAGGATGGGGTGGGGAGCAGTAGCACTTATGGGGAGAGGATCCCCCCCATCCTCCTTCCCCAAGACCTGAGCTGCTGGCATCTGCAGACAACCCCAGCAGCCGTTCTTCGGAGCCCCCCTCAAAGCCCCCTGGACTGCTTCCCACCCACAGCTCACAAGCATTCCTCCAGCAGCCTTTTTATTTCCTCCCCTACCCCACTCCCCAAATATAGAGGTCTGCTTTGAAGTGGAGACTGTTTCCAGGCCTTATTGAGACCAGACCCTGGAGCCCCCCCCCACCCCCACCTCGCCTGGCTATGGCGTTTCCTCTAACAGGGACCGGCTCCCTGCTTTACCCCCATGGGGTTCCTCTACCAAGGACCAGCTTCCTAACCTAACAGAGACCAAAGGCCTCCTCTGCCTGGAGCGGATTTGTCCCCTTTCACTCCAGCTTGCCCACTGCCCCCTTTGCCTTCCTGCTTCCAGCTGGGTTTGGGAGTGAGGTGGGAGAGGGACACAGTAACCCCTTAGTGCCCAAGGCCTGGCAAGAGGTCTTGCTCGAAGGCCTCCCCTTCCCCAAGGCTGCCAAGCCCTGGGCTGTGTGTGTGACCGTGCTGCTGTAAGGCCCAGGAAGGGCTGGGCCTCAGAGGACTGGCCTACTCCAGGTGTTCCCCAGGGAGCCTCCCCTCCTGCCTCCCCAGCTCCTCCAACCCCCAAGTCCCCTCTGGAAGAGATTGTAAAATAAACCTGGACACCAGGGACCTTGCCAGTCCTTTTCCTTCCGGGCAGAAGGCTCCTCCTGCTTAGGACTGTGGAATTCTCTCTGCAGTTGGCTGTGCTGGGAACCAGGTGGGCCATGAGGCTGTGTGTGAAAGGGGAGGGTGGAAAAGTACCATCCTTGTCTGCAGATCTCAGCCCTCAGGTTGCAGGCAGAATGGGGCAGCCCCCTGGAGAGGCAGCGCCAAGAGAGACAACGTCACAGGGCCCAGGGCAAGCCTGACCGTGGGGAGAAACCAGAGATGAGCGCTGAATGCGGCCTGTGTGCAGGCTGTTTTGATTCCGGAGCCGCCATGGGGCTGCTGGACTAGATGACATTTCTAGCTGTTCTGCTCCTAATGTTTTCCTTCTGTGTGCTCCATTTCCAAACCAAAGTGCTCGTGTGTTTGCTTACTTTCTTCTTTGGGCTCGGGTTTTTGAGCCATCGACTGCGGGAAGCTGGGAGTGGTGGGGCACAGCTTAGCCAAAGCAACTCTTTTTGCCCAGGGTTTCAGGGTCCTGGGGCTTGGTGGTCCCTATAGGGCGACGGAGTGGCGCAGTTCGGACCTGGTTGCTCTGCCAGGAAAGAAAACTCCATTCATTGGCAGCTGCTGGTAGCTGAGCAGGGCATAAGGTGCTCCCCGTATGCTCTCTGATGTAAGCCTCCCGGTGGCGGGGGTAGGATTCCATTTTACGGGACCACAGCCTGAGGCGGAGAAATTAAGTTGTCTGGGTCACATCATTATAAAATGTGAAGTCAGGTACACAAAGTGCACCATACGCCCAGGCAGTCCTTGTCCTGGACAAGGAAGGTCATGCGGGAGGCCAAGGACTTTCCTGGGTTGGGCGTCTTCTATGTTCTTCCCGGCAGTCCTGTCTGCCAGGCCTGTCGCTTAGGGCACCCCTACCCTAGGTGGGTGGGAAGAGGTGGTGGTGCCTTGTTCTGCCTGTGAATGACAGGGCCATAGCCTGGCCCCGGCAGTTTCCTTGAGCCTGGGTGTGGCCTGGGCCCCAGTGGTGGTTAAACAACACCTGGGAGAACAAGACCTATGTGCCCTCCGTCTCTTCCGTCCACCCCAGTCCTCACCAAGATCTGCTTTTTTTTTTTTTTAAGGTTTTATTTATTTATTTGAGAGAGAGAATGAGATAGAGCGTGAGAGGGGGGAGGGTCAGAGAGAGAAGCAGACTCCCTGCCGAGCAGGGAGCCCGACGTGGGACTCATCCCGGGACTCCAGGATCATGACCTGAGCCGAAGGCAGTCGCTTAACCAACTGAGCCACCCAGGCGCCCATCACGATCTGCTTCTAAGTTGGTGGAAATGACCATTCTTCAGGAACCCACTGGCCTGTTCCAGCTCCCCTGTCCCAGCTCCTTCCCATTCCCTGATGCCCTCAAAAAAGTTACAGCGTTGATTGAGACTTCGTTTCCCTGGAGCAGAAACCAAATCCACACCCTCTGATGGAGCCCTGAAACCTCTGCAGCACACCAACACTATGCCCTCGGGCTGCCTGCCGTGACAGCCCTGCCTGCACAATGACCGCTTCTGTGCCTTGACCTGGCGGGAGGGAGGCAGGAGGGGAGGGGACGGGTCACGGGCCAAGGGGGGAGGGGGATCTGCGGGGTCGGAGTCAGAAAGCGCTGTAGGCCACTGGGGATGCTCATCCCATTAGAGAGGTGAGCTGAGTGATTGCCCAGGGCCGCAGAGTTGCTTAGAGCAGGACAGTACTCCCTTCTGGTCCACAGGGTCTTGCCCTTGGGTCAGTCGATTTTGTCTTGGTCATGAGTTTTGTGAATGCACAACCCACAGAGCAGAAATCCTGCAGATTAGCCTGTAGATGCTAGGGACGAGGGAAAAGTCAGGAGCACAAAGAGATGTAAAACAGAGGCTCTGCCACAAATAGGGGTGAAGGAAGGGAAATGAATCCATTCAATCATTCAAACAATATTCATTTGACCTTATTGAATGCCTACTGTGTGCCAGGCACTGTGCTAGGCTCTGGGGATGGAGCAGTGAACTAGTCACCACCCTCCCTTGCCCTAAGAGGAAGCTGCAGGCCAGTAGCTTTATATGGGAGGACAGTCTGCACACAGGGGGCTAAGGTAGGCACTATCCCCATTTTACCCATGGGGAAAGTGAGGAAATTACCCATGGTCACACACTAAGAGGCAGATCTGGCATTTGAGGCTAGGTCTGTGTGACCCCAAGGTTGTGCTTGCCGGTCCTGCAGTTTCCTGCTCCCTCAAGGGCTTCCAGTCTAGTTGCGTGGTAGAGCACCTGTGTCAGGCCAAGTGGCCACTCCAGGAGGCCCGGGACTGTTTGGTGGGAGAGAGGCTTACACACACCGAGGACAGAGGCCGTGGGAGGCTGGCTGCAGTACGCCGGCTGGCAGTGCAGGGAGGATGAGACACAGGGCATAAGTAGGCGGGAAGAGTGGGGAGGGCACTCCTTGCAGAGGGAACTTGGAGGGAATGACTCATACCTGAGGCAGGCAAGTTACAGCTGTGCCCACAGGTGTGCTTCCCTGAAAACAGACCAGCCTGACGGAGTGCAAAGTGGAGACTAATGGGAGATGCCAGAGTCAGCTCTGGTGGGCCCTGACGTGCCAGGGTTGGGGGTTGGCAGGTATGGTGCTGGGGAACCATTTGCCAGATGGTTCTGAGCTGGTGCCTGGGGCCTTTCCTCGGCTGCCCTCTCCCTCTCCCTAGAGCCTGGGTTCCAGGTGGTTGGCAGAAGGCTGGCCTCATGGGCAGCGAGGGCCCGTGGTGATTGCTGGGGCCGGCCCACCCCAGGCAGGACAGCAGAGAGGGTGAGGGGAGGGCAGCCAGGAATGGAAAAGTATGGAGAGTGCCCCGCGACCACCAGTCAGGATTCCTTCCAGCTCCTGGGCCTCGAAGGTCGCCCTGAGCCGAGCAGCCTTGCGGGGCATCTCCAGCAGGGGCAGCTCTGCGCAGCCCCAAGAGCCCAGCAGCCCGCAGCCAGCGCCCGGGGAGCGCGCGGGCCGTTGGGGAACGGAGCTGAGGAGGGCGCGGGGGCGGCCCCGGCTCGGGATCTGTGGGTGTCGGGGCCGCGTCCGCGCCAGCCGCGGAGTCGGAGCCGGGAGTGGGCGGAGGAGCCAGGCGGACCGCAGACAGGCCCAGCAGGCCCTCCTCCGCCCGGGCCCGGGGTGTGTGTGTGGGGGGCGTTGCTCGAGGGCCCCTGTGAAGGCGGGTGGGCGCGGCCGGCCTGGGAGAGCTTCAGGGGGCGACAGCCTCTGCTGTCCGCGCAGTGGGGCTCGCGACCCGTCACCGGAACGCCTCCCAGGGCCTCCCGGAGCAGTCGGGAGAAGGGCACCTCGGGGAGGACGACCGCAGCCTCTAGGGGGCTCTAGGGAGAGAAGCCCCCGCGCACCCCAGCAGGGCGCGGGCCAGGTGGCAGCGCCGGGGCTGGGCTGCGCGGAGGAGGCGGCCTCCCGGGCCAGGGGCGGCGGCAGGGGCGGCCCCGGGATCACATGGGCGGAGGCAGGTCCTGGAGCCCCGGGCGGGCTCTCCCCAGAGTCGGGCAGACGGCGGCGGCGGCGGCGGCGGCGGCGGCAGCGGCGGTGTCTCCTCACCCTCCCTCCTTCCCTTCCCTCCCGGGTCTGGCCGCCCAGCCCGACGGGTTAGCGGGAGCCAGGTGAGCGCGCCCACCTGCGCACCGTCCGCACGGCCGGCGACCTTCCCGGGTCCGGGGACCTCGCAGCTCTGCGCGCCCGCGCCCCCTCTGCGCTGCTCTCGGCGCCCCGGCTCTTTCCTCCGCCCACGGCCCCCGTCCCTGCAGCCTCGCCTGGAGGCCGGCGCCCCCTGCGTGCTGGGCTTTCCTGATCCCGGGCTCTCCTCCTCCAGCACCCGGCCCGCGGGTACTTTGGCCTCGGAGCGTAGAAGGAGCCAGAACTGGGAGAGCCGGGCGGGCCGACGGGCTGGGCACTTCCCCGCGGCCCAGGGCGCGGAGTCCACCGGCCGGCTCAAAGGTCTGAGAATCCAAAGCCTCTGTGAACCGCCAGCGCCGGCCTGAGGACCTGGGGGACCTGGGCAGGGACAGGGGCTAGGCCTGGGCAAAAGGCGAAGCCAAGGACCGGGGAGAGGGCAGACAGCTCTTCTTGCTTGGGCGCCCTCTCCCCAGGCTCTTAAACACGGGAAGTGGCCCTAGTGTCCTTGATAGATTCACACAGCACTTGCAGTCTCTGGGCCTCCCCAGGGGCAGCCCCTGGGGTGGGTGCTGGGCAGGGTGGTGGCCCAGGGCTGGCATTACAGCTTCCTGCCTGGGTTGGCTCCTGACTCCATAACTAGAGGCTCAGGAAATCCTACCAGGGCTGGGTCTGCAAGGACACTCCCTTGCCCAGCGGAGGGGGCCGTGGATGGGAGACCTGCGGCCCCAGCTAGCAGGCAGCATCAGTCAGCTCGCCCTGCTAGCCATTGCCAGGGGGTGGGTGTGCCCAGCTTGGCAGATGAGCCTGTCCTTCTGGCTGGGGCTGTTCAGAGGGCAGCAGGCCCCTGGGGGAGGTGGGAAGCCTAGTCTTGCCTACCTGGACCGCATTGCCAGGGGCCAGGCAGGCAGCCCAGAGGCCCCTCTGAAGACCCTGGTCCAGTCCCCACCCAGCCAACTATTTGAACAGTCTGTGGTGGCATCACCCCCTTGTTTGCTGTCACTCCTGTTCCCAGAGTGGTGCCCTCCCCCAGAGTGGGGAGGAAGTACCTTGTGCAGTCAGTTTTGGGGACAGGAAGCAAGCACTGATGGGACTTAGCCTTGCCGGGGGCGGGGGGGCGGGGCAGGAAACCGTGACATCTCCTACCACCTCCAGCCCCTGCCCGCCTGGTCTCCATCCAGCAAGGCCCTGTGAGGCACCCTAACGGCCTGCCTTCTGGGAGCTGCGCTGCTGAAGACCGTGGCGGTGAAGGGGGAACTCAGAGTCATGGCTTCCCAGGGTGGGGGGAAGTGAAACCGGGGTGGGGGGTTGAAGGAGGGAGTTAGTCACTTCCTCTACCCTCCCCCTCACCCCCCTCCCCAGCCCCTAACTGGCTGCTCCCTGGACCTGTCATCCTCTCTCTTTTGCTTCTTCTACCACCTTACAGGATCTCTGTCCCTTCTTCCTCAGATATGGCACTGACGGTGGATGTGGTGGGGCCAGGGCCCTGGGGCTTCCGGATCACTGGGGGCAGGGATTTCCACACGCCCATCATGGTGACCAAGGTAAGGGCTAGTTCCGGGAGCTAAGGAGGTACCCCCAGAGTTAGGGTCTACCCTGTCTACCTGGTCTCCACAGGTACCTTTCTTTTTTTATTCTGGAGTCAGAAGGCCTGCTTCTGGGAGTGTTAGCCTGGAGAGGACAGGGACCCCATTGCCATGGGGATGTGGTGACCACTTCGGGAACAGACTTCTAGGGAATGAAAGGGAGCTGGGCCAAGTACAGGGCCTGCTCTTTTCTCCTTGGTCACCAACCCTATACGTGCTGGCGGCCACTTGGGGGGCTTACTAGAACAGGAGCCCCAAGTCCTTGGTAGTGTCTTCTTGACCCAGGCCCAGGCCAGGGAGCATTCACGCGGCAGCTACCTGTATGGTGTGCTTTGCAAGGGCAGGGCTCTCTATCCAGAAGGATTTCCAAGCACAGCCCCTGAAATCCTGCCATTTCTTCAGGAGGCTCTGTGAGGGTTCCAGTGCTGGGGTGAGGGGCATGGTTCCACTCCAGCTCTGGGAGGGGATTAGCTGATGAGCTGGGCAGACACTGCTGGGCAGGGAGACAAAGGGGGACACAGGCCAGCCTGGTTCAAACCTGCTGCTGTGTTTCTTGGCAGGACAGAGAGAAACCCCTATCCTCTCTCCCTATAGGAATGTCATCGCTGTCTGAGCAGGCGTATCTCAGACCACTTGTTCCTCATCCCCTGCAGGTAACTGAGAGGGGCAAGGCTGAGGCTGCTGACCTCCGGCCTGGCGACATTATCCTGGCCATCAACGGGGAGAGCGCTGAGGGCATGCTTCATGCTGAGGCCCAGAGCAAGATCCGCCATAGCCCCTCACCCCTGCGGCTGCAGTTAGACCGGTAGGCCCCCCACCTCTGCTGGGCCTGCCAGCATTCTTCTCCCCTCTGCCAGCCTGCTGCACAGTGGCTGCCCTCACCCCCTGCCCTCAGCCCCAACCTGGCCTTCCTGGGCCTTTTTGGCTCATGTTTGAGAAGGTCCAGGCTCTGGAGCTGTAGCAGGATGGGCTGAGCGGTGTCCCTGTGCTGGCCGGGCATGCAGCCATGGGCAGGGCAGGCTGGCATCAACCACCTGGGTGCCCGGGTTTGACTGGTTCCCAAGTGTGCAGGGTACAGGGTCTGGGCATGAAGTGAGTTGAAGAGGGGAAAGGTGTGCCTTAGGCTGGGTCTCCTGGGCCCCTGCCTCCAAGAGGGAATGGCCTTTGTTCAGATCCTGGGGGGTGGTTTGAGGAGTTTAGGGGCTCCCCCGCCACTGCCTCTCCGGGCTGTGCAGGTGAAGGCAGATTCCCAGGCTTGGGTTTTCAGCCAGGAGGCCTGGGTTGGGGGTGGGGGTGGGAACAGGTGGCTCCCTGGGGTGGAGCACCAAAGTGAGTCACAGGGCAGGAATGCTGGGAGATCCCCCAGCCAGGAGAACCCTCTGGGCGGGCCTTGAACCTGAGTCAGGTACCTCCTGCCTCTCTGCCATCCCCTCCCCTCACTGGGCTCTCTCTGGGCCCTGGCTCCTTGCCCTCTCTTCACCCCTACCATCCCACAGTGCCATAGAAGCTGGCTCCCATGATGCTCTCATGGCCTTGGCTTCTTTAGTGACTCCCTCATGCCACTCAGGCTTGTGAGTGTTTGCAGGAGTGGGACCCAGAGGAGGAGGGTGGAGAGTACCTCAAGGCATCTGGGAAGGGAACCAAAATCTACAAGGGACTGCAGAGTGGGGTGGTGGAGGGGCAGGGAGCTGCTCACGCCATCACCTCCTGTAGGCTCCTCTTAGAGGGACCCAGTGCCATCAGGGAATGGGCCTGACCAAGTCCCTCCAGGTTTCCAGCTCCATGTTGGGCAGGTCAAGATTCCCTGCCTCTTCTTTTTGTCTGGGCTGCTCCTAAACCCTCCCAGTCTCCTCTACAGGAGCACACAGAAACTCTGGCAGGAAGCCGTGCTCTGGACTGGAGCCAAAGCCCAAGCTCCCTTCACTCTGGCCCCCCACGCCTCCTTGGGGAGGCTGAGGCTGGTGTGGTGTGTGGTGACTGCAGGTCTTGTTACCTCTCTAGAAGTGGCCAGAGATCCAGGAATGGTGTAGTGGGGTTGGGACATGGCAGGCTCTTTCTTCACCCTCAGTTAGTCCCAGACCTCCAAAGGCCTCCTGTTCAAGACTCCAGCGGGAAGGGCCTTGGAGGGGGGGTCCCTGGGGAGCTGAGGTGGGGGCACATCTTTTGCTGGCTACCTTGATGATTGGTGGGGAGCTGGGCCTGCTTGTTGCCTTGGCTCTCTAGGTCCTGCAGGATGGTGTGGGGGTGGGGGGAGACAGGCTCCACCCTTTGTTTTATGGAGGAGAAGCCTTCAGAAGGGACCGGGAATGACCCTCTCAAAGATATTCGAGCCATTAGCAGCAAAGCTGGTGGGGGACAGCATCTGGCTGGGCAGAGGAGAGTGCACAGCGGGCCCGGCCACTGTTGGACTTTAGGAAACTCCCTTTCTCTCTCTGGGCTTCAGTTTCTCCGTGCGTGAAAGATAAAGGATTATTTATATGAAATCAGCAATCTCCCCCAGAATCGATCTATAAACTGATGCTGACCAATGACAAAGTCTAGATGAAATGCCCAAAAAAAGAAGAAAAGAGAAAAAAGAAAAAGAAATAAAAAGAGGGGGGCGCCTGGATGGATCATTCATTAAGCGTCTGCCTTCGGCTCAGGGCATGATCCCAGAGTCGTGGGATCGAGCCCCACATTGGGCTCTCCGCTCAGCGGGAGGCCTGCTTCTCCCACTCCCCCTGCTTGTGTTCCCTCTCTCACTGTGTCTCTATCAAATAGATAAATAAAATCTTTGAGAAAAAGAAGAAGAAAAAAATTTAAAAAAAGAAATAAAAAGAGGGGTGCCTGGCTGGCTCAGTTGGTGGAGCCTATAACACTTCATCCCTGGGTCTTGAGTTTGAGCCCCATGTTTAGCATAGAGATTACTTAAAAAAAAAAGAGGGGCGCCTGGGTGGCTCAGTTGGTTAAGTATCTGACTTTGGCTTAGGTCATGATCTCGGGGTCCTGGGATCGAGCCCCATGTCTGGGCTCCACACTGATCAAGGAGTCTGCTTCTCCCTTTCCCACTGCCCTACTCCCCAGCTCGTGCCCTTTCATGCTCTCTCAAGTAAATAAATGAAAAAAAAAATTTTTTTTTTAAAGATTTTAGTTATTTATTTGACAGAGAGAGACACAGCGAGAGAGGGAACACAAGCAGGGGGAGTGGAAGAGGGAGAAGCAGGTTTCCTGTGGAGCAGGGAGCCCGATGCGGGGCTCGATCCCAGAACCCTGGGATCATGACCTGAGCCGAAGGCAGACGCCCAACGACTGAGCCACGCAGGTGCCCCAAATAAATGAAAAATCTTAAAAAAAAAAAGGGGGATACTGTGAGTTTTTAATAAAATTGAATTTATGAAATTGTGTCCATTCTTCATATTGAGGCTAAACTGTCCATTCCTTTGAGAAATGATGGTGGATATTAATAATAGTTGTTTGTTTTGAACTTGGCCAAGTTGAAAGTTGACAACCTGATGTCCACATGTCTTGAACATTTTACGAGTCTTGAGAATCTGTTGTGGGAACAGCTGAAATCTGCAGCCCCTGTCAGGTGAGCGGGGTTCCTGGACTCCTGTCACCTGCCTCCCTCTGGCCTCTCCTCAGGTCCCGGGCTTCTTCCCCCAGGCAGACCAATGGGGAAAGCTCTGTGGAAGTGCTGGTGACTCGCTTCCAGGTAGGATGGTGCCTCCTGCTGGGAACTCCAGCACCCTGAATTGAGGGGAGCCCTGAGGGGCAGGGCCGGTAGGGGATGGGGATGGGTGCTCCCTTCCCGGCCCTTCTCTCCGCAGGGCTCCATGAGGACGCACGCGGACAGCCAGTCCTCCCTGCGGTCTTCCTGCTCCAGCCCCGTGTCCTCCAGCCCCCAGCCAGGCAGCCCCTTCTCTACCCTGTCCCCCAGCAGCCCACATGCCCTCCCTGGAGAGGCTGTGGTCAGCCGCAGGTGAGTGCGGGGAGCGGGGGGGCGTGATGGCAACAGGGTCCAGAACAGGCCTCTCAGTCTCAGTAGCTGGGTTTAGGGGAGCCTGAGGGCACCCTCTGTGTCCCTGAGGCAGGCTGGGTGGGACACCTGGCACACACACCGTCCGTTTCCCACATTTCAGTTTCCAGAGCCTGGCACACTCCCCGGGACCCACTGCTGCTGACCGCTTCTCCTACGGGGGCCGCCCTGGGAGCCGCCAGGTGAGATGCCTGGGGGGAGGAGAGAGCCTCCCATCCGGCCAGGGTGCCAGTGGCCCCCGTGGGGCTGCAGAGGGCGGGTCCCCCTGGGGCAGCCAGCACCTCCATCTCCAGCAACAAGCATACCCCTCCCCTGAGCCCGGAGGCCACTGTGTCTGCTGGTGGGCCATGCTTACTGTGCCCCAAGCCTGCCTGGCCAGTCCCAGGTGGCCTTCTACCTCCTGTCCTCCCACTCGCCACCTCCCCCCTCCTGCTAGCGTCCTCCCTTCCTGAGTGTTTCTCTTGGGCCAGGGCTGAAATAGTTTTGCTGCTGTTGTTGGGATGGTTCCCTTTGGCTCTGGCTGCATCTCTTGAACACATTCCTCCCCATTCCAAGCCCCATACCCGCCCCCAACTCCCATCACCCCATCCCCCTTCCTCCTCCTCTGACTCAGCCCAGAGAACCACCAGTGGGACTGCGGTTCTGCCTCAAGTTGCACTTGGCTTACTTTCTGTCTGCCCTCCTCCCTGCCCTTCTACCCTGGACAACCTTCCACACAGCCCACCGCCCCCTCACCCGACCAGGTCCCACTGTGAACTAGTGACAGTCCCCCCCCCCCCCCCCCGCCTTGGTGTTATTTCTTCTCTCTAAGGGCAGGAGTGAGGAAGTGAGGGAGTGAGGCCGCCAACAGTCCTGGGCCACAGCTGCTGGGGGCAGAGTTGGGGGGGCATGTCCAGCCTTTGGGGTGAAGGGGATGAGGCCCAGCTGCTGGAATCCTACCTCCGGTTGATTTTGCATTCCAGAAAGCAGAGCCTTTGGAGATGGCTGGGGAAGAGCATTCGCAACTGGGGGCTCTGGGGAAGGAAGGAGAGGGCTCCTGTGGGGGCTGGACAGTACGAGTTCACCAGTGACTCCTTGTGGGCCCACTCAGTGGCCTGCCGGGCAATGTAGGCATAGAGATGCATTCGATAAGATCCCTGTCTTTAAAGAATTTAAAGCGTAGTTGGGGAGATAAGACAAGCATGTAAAGCAGTTTGGGAACAATTAAGAGCTAAACAGTGTGGTCTTAATTATGAAAGCAGGAGGCATTCTGGGAGGGAAAAGATGAGTGTGGGCCTGGTGGCCTGAGAAGGCTTTGTCAGGAATTTTGCTGGACGTCCGAGGTAGGACTGGGTAGGGTTTAGATTAGAGAATGATAAGCCAGGGAGATGGGAAAGCAGTGTACAAGCAAGACCTGGCATGTTTGGGCCTGGGTGGGGGTGGGGAGGGGCTCCTCTGGGAGATCTTTGGGCTGAGACCAGCTGGGAATGTGCTTGGCCCAGGGCATGGCTGGAGAGGGTCCATCCATCTTGGCCTTCTTCCTTGCGGTTCCCAAACTTGGGCAAAGGGGAGATGCTGGTGGTACAGGGAGTGGCTCCCAAGCCAGCAGCAACACCTCGGAACCTGTTAGAAATGCACATTCTCAGGTCCCAGCCTGGACTTACTGAATCAGATGCAAGGGTGAGGGTGTGGAGCAGGGGCACAATCTGTGTTTTAAGGAGCCCTTGGGGACATGATGCAAAGATTCGAGGACCACCCATGTAGTGTAAACAGGAGCCCTGGGCTGGGTGGCAGGGAGACTTGGGGTAGTCCCACCTCTACCATCTCACCTTGGGGAAGCCCCTCTTTCTCTCTCTGGACCTCACAGTCAGTCCCCATGCTCCGAGTTCCCTTCTTTGGCCTGAGGACCGTGGTCATTCCTTCAACAAACTTTTGCTGAGCAGTTGCTTTGTGTCAGGCACCCTTCTAGTCTCTGGGGATGCATTGGTGGATAAACAGAAATTCCTAACCCAATGAAGCTTGCATTCTGGTCTCTGAATGAGGCTGTGGTCAGATGGTGTGGGAGTCACCAGATCCCACACCTCCCTCTTGGGGGCCACTGTGTACTTTTAGCACCTTAAAGGCTCTAAGAAGTCCCATGAGAAATATATTTAATTTTATTAATTTCCTAAACTTATTTAACTACAGAATTTCTCCTGGCATTCCCCCCCACACACACACATACCTGCCACACACTTATTAACATCCCTGTGTTCATCAGAACACAGTTTGAGAGGTGTTGGCTACACATGAGCTCTTGGGGGGCAGGTGAGCCGCTTCTCTGGACTTGGGGGTGAAAGGTTCCTTCTGCGAGGGCAGGTGTCCCTAGCTGACTGGGAGGGAGGGAGGAGGAAGGCAGAGCTGCTCCCAGTGAGGGAGTTGAGCTCCTCTCCACCAGGGCACGGTGGTCTGGCAGGAGGAGGGGGGTTAGAGGTGGCTGTAGGTGAGGTGCCCCCACCCCGGTCTGCTGTGGCCGTGGCCTTGCTGCTGGCTCCTGAGCTGCAGGCACAGGACCCCACCAGCCTTCATGGGGCCCTTCTGGAAACTGGAAGCTGCCACCTCTGGGTAGGCCCACGCCTTGGTGAGCAGATGGGACGTGAAGACAGCACCCCTCCCTCTGGCTGGCATGAGGACTTGGCTTGCAAAGAGAGCCGGGGTGGATTTGGGCCGCCCTCCCCGCTAGTCACTGCCCTGTTCCGGGCATAGCCCGGCCGCTGACGGCGCGAGGGCCGTGGTTCTTGAGTACCTGGTGCTGACGGCCCTTCTTGAGGAAAGCGTCTTACCATCTGACAGCGGACCACGTGGCACCAAGAGCAAGAGGGATGTAGACTGGTGGAAGAAGAGTGAGGGTCAAGGGCTGTCTTCTCAAAACCCTCAAGTTGCTGTTTTTAGCTGAAAAATGCATGCAGTTTTGTCATTTGACCCCGTACTTTGTCCCTGACTTTGACTCTTAAAATTGAGGGACTTTGGCCTTCCAGAGAACCATGCCCTCAGCCCGGTGCACTGTGGCCTGTCTGGTTGTTCTGACGTACCCTCTCCGTGGGGACTGGCAATGGAGAGGAGGCGGGGTAGGACGGGTGGGTGCACAGGCCAGAAGGTGGAGCACAGTGAGGCTGGAGGCGACATTTCCACACAGACGGCAAGTGTAAAGAGCCCAAGATGGATGCACCCCTGGAGAGGGGGCGCGCTGCTGGGCCGTGGGTCCAAAATGGGCCTGCCCACCCCCAAGACTCCCTGGGGCAGAACCAGACCTCCAGGGCAGCCAGGAGACCTGGGCCCTCTCAGGAGAGGAAGCGTGTGTAGGAGAGAGGCAGCCCCAGCCCTGACCCTAAGAAGGGTCTTGGGCCCCTCACTCCATCCCTTGTGCTTCCTTCTCCTCACTGCGAAAGGATCTGCTTGCTTCCTCTCTGCCCTTCTGCCCCTTGCCCCATCTCCTTGCAGAACCATTACACTTCTATAATGCGGGCTAGCCACTCTCCCCTTCTGGGACTGAGCAGGAGCAGTCCCTGGTACCCCAAGGGCAGGGCTGGGGTGATGCCCCCCCCCCCCCCCCCCCCCCCCCCCCGCCCAGGGCCTGCTGGTCAGCGGCAGCTGGGAGCCCTCTGGTGTTGGGCCTGGGGAACAGCCGGGCTTGGCTCGGCAGCCCGGACGGCTGTGCAGGCCACAGGCTCGAGCCGCTGACTCCTCCCCTGGTGCCTCTCTGTCCCGCAGGCCAGCCTCCCCCGCGCCAGCGACTCAGCTGTGCTGGTGCTGCCGCCTTCCCCGGGTCGGCGTTCCTCCAGCCCCAGGCTCAGGTAGCAGTGGGCCCTGGAGGGTGGGGTGGAATCCGGGAGGGCCTGGGAGGTTAGGAGACAGACAGGCTGTCCAGAGAGGAGGGATGGGGGCGGCAGGGAGTGCGGGGGTCCCGGCTGCTTTAAGCCCAGTTGGCTCTCCTCTGAATCCCCCCAGAATCCTTTCCCCTAGGGCACTCTTTCCCTGCACCCATGCTGGTCCTCATACCCAGGAGGGACCCTCACTCCTGGCTGCCTCCTGTCCCCGCAGTGTGGACTCAGAAGGGGGAAGCCGCCTTCTGGAAGAGGACTCAGAAGTCTACAAGATGCTGCAGGAGAATCGTGAGGCGCGGGTCGCCCCCCGGCAATCCAGCTCCTTTCGGCTCTTGCAGGAAGCCCTGGAGGCTGAGGAGAGAGGTGAGCCCCTGGGGGGTTTGAGTGTAGGAAGTAGGTTATGGCAGGACACCCCTGACTGGACGTGATATTGAACTGGTATTTCTTAAGTGCTCATCACAGGAGTAGGCACCAAGGGGAAGTCCCTGCACTAAAGGAGCTTTCAATCTGGTAGGAGTTACAGGGGTGCACCCAGAGGTGCTGGCTGGGATCAGGAAAGTGTCAAGGGAATGATAAAGGTGGGGGGTAGGGCCCGTGGGGGCTGGGTCCCTAGGGAGGGCTTCATGGAGGAAGATGAATTTGACTCGACCCTTGAAGAAAGATCAAGACTTTAACAAACAGCCTTAAGATGGTGGCAGGGAGTTCGAGCCTCAGAGAGGGCACTGGGGAGGCGGTTGAGGGGGGGAGATGGTGGCGGGGAGCACCGTGGCCTGCGGTGGCTGGCACCCGGAGGGCTTTGGTGTGGGAGCAAGAGAGTAGCGGGGCCTGCTCTTGGAGGTTGAGTCCTAGCTGTGGGGTCTCATGTGCCAGGCGGAGGAGTGCCCTAGCCCCGGAGGGCCCGTTAAATAATGCCAGGCCGATGCTGGAGTGAGCAAGAAGAGAGATACGGACTCTCGCGAGCCATTCAGTTGTTCAGTCGCCAGACATTTCCTGTGCTTGTCTGATGGGCTGTGGTGTGCCGAGTGTGGGGGCCGAGGGTAGTCCGGCACCTGTCGGCCCTCGAGGAACTGTTGATCGGGGCGGACAGGCCTGCACAGCTGCCCCGGTGGTGGTCGGGGTGCAGTGGTGCTGTGTGTGTGTGTTGGGGGCACTGCCTAGTGCAGGGGAGGGGCGAGGAGGCCTGGCCTGGCGGTGGTCTCAGGGAGGCAGACGATGGGACAGGCGGGAGCACTGGGTCAACTGCCTCACCAGTACAATACCTGGTGGCCGGTTTCAACTCTGACATCAGCTCCTGGGGTGTTCCCTGGGGTCAGGGGGCAGGGAGCAAATCCTGTCCCTCGTGACCCCGCGGCCTCGGTGGGCCCCCCCGGACAGGGCCCAGGGAGAGGCGGCGGGGTGGGGGGAGCGCAGACAGCCCGTGCCTTCACGGCTGGAGCCTTGGAGTCCTTGGCTGCCCAGTACGAGCGGTGTCCTTCCGAGGCTCACATGCAACAGTGCCCAGAAAAGCCCTTTGAAAACCGAGTAAAGGTATTGTGGGGCTGCTATTATCTATCATTGCCGTCTTCTAATTAATGGCATCTTGACTGGATCCCGAGGGGAAACGCCTGCTTGGTGGGGTGTGTGGACACAGCACAGACACTCCTCGGCTGCCGCAGCGTGGGCTACCCCGGCCTCGGCCAAGGAGCGGCCGCCATCACTCCCTTCGTCCCTTACCACCTGCCTCACACCCGGTGGCCCCTTAGAGGTCGTGCGCAAGCGCGCCTGTCGGGTCTCCTCAGAGCTGTGCCGGAGGAGTGAGCGTGGCCTGCCCGCCGCCGCCCGGCCCCGCGCTCCAGTGTCTGTCTGCCCCACCCCTCCCAGGTGGCACGCCTGCCTTCCTGCCCAGTCAGCTGAGCCCCCAGCCCGCCCTGCCCACCTCCAGGGCCCCGGCCACCCCGCCCAAGCTCCACACGTGTGAGAGGTGCAGCAGCAGCATTGTGTGAGTGTGGGCAGCCCGGGAGGCAGGCACGCCCCGGCCGGGCGGGGGGGGGCGGGGGGGGAGAGGGGTGCCCTCAGGAGGGCTCTGCGGAGAGCAACCAGTCAGGGCCCCCGGAGGGGGGCGTGCCGCGTGCGGCTGTGGGAGGGGGTCTTGTGCGGTATTTTCAGGCTTCTCACAGTGCCCTGCTGGCTTCTTCCCGCGGCATCTCCTCCTTCCTCATTTCTTTCGCCCTCGGAGGAGGAGGAAGAAATGCTACTGCTTCTGGTTGCTCTCCAGTAATCTCAAAGCCTCTGGAGATCTGCCTCTAGATGAGGCATTTTCCTTCTGGAAAATGTTGCTCTTCCCTCCCCCCTTTGGAAAGGGATGGATTTTCCAGAGGTAGATTCATTTTTCTCCGTGGGTGGCATTAGAATGCAGCCGGATTCTCCGGCAAATCGCCGAAAGCCCACTCCCCCTGCCGTAGATGTCTTGCACGCAGTGCTAACGGTCAGATGACTCACTTGAGGCAAATCCCTTAGCGTCTGCGGGCTTTAGTGTCGCCTGCATTATGGGGTATTCCCCGTGCCTGCTGTGCAGACGCGCATGGGGTGGTCCTCAAAGAGCAGCTGCGGAGCTCCCCGGGACCCGTCAGAGGGATTGCTGGCCCACACCCCAGAGCTTCCATTTTTCCAACTTGTCCCCAGGGAATGCGATGCTGTGGGTCCTTGTACCTGGGACCACTGCTCTATTAACAACCCAGAAAATTCAGGATGGAGTTTATCTGCCTTCGTGTAAAGGAGAAAGGACTTTTTTTTTTTTTTTAATTAGAGGTCCTGGGGGTGGGGGGTGGGGGGTTATTGAAGCGAGAGCCCTGAAGGAAGGCTCGGGGAGTCAGGGTCTGAAATTTGGGGATCTTCCCTGAATCTGCGCTGGGAACTAGGCTCCCTGGGAACGAGACGGGCGGCGGTGCTGCCGGTCGCCCCGCCTCCACGCAACCCCCCAGGCTGACGGCTCCGCCCTCTCCATCGCCCCCTGCAGGAACCACGCTGTACGCATCCAGGAGGGGCGCTACCGCCACCCGGGCTGCTACACCTGCGCAGACTGCGGGCTGAACCTGAAGATGCGCGGGCACTTCTGGGTGGGGGATGAGCTGTACTGTGAGAAGCATGCCCGCCAGCGCTACTCCTCGCCCCCCACCCTCAGCTCCCAGGCCTGAGCACCTGGCTGTTGTCTTAGCCCGCCCTCGACTCTGTGGACACCTCCGTGCCAGGGCCATGCCAATAGCAAGTTGGCATGGAAGGGTGGTGGTGGGTGGTGGGGCCCCTTCCTCCAGGCTAGGTGCGGCCAGGGCCTGGGACCTGTCCTGGGCTGTGCATGAGGACGGCTTCGCCGGCCCAGGCCTGTGCTAGATACTCTCACTTCCCCCTGCAGGACAGGCTGTGCACCAAAGTCGGCGGTGGGCACCGCATTGGATATCTTTGTGCAACAGGGGTTAAGCAGGTTGGGACACAGAGAGAAATATGTAGAAAGAGAGGGGTGGTCATAGGCGAAAGGTATTCACTCTGTAAAGTTTTCAACATATGAGCTCTATAAATATATATACATGGACAAAACAAAGTAGATCTTTCCTCTCCTTCCCTGCCCTGGCCCCTGGGGATGAGTTTCTCTCTACCACTGGGTAGAAAGTCTTTACTGACATATTTTTTCCCCCTTTATTTCCCCCCTTCCACAAACCCCTACTGAAGAGGCTTGTTTCTTTTAATGGAAGGTTGTGCTCTTTCTGGACACCCTCCCCTCTTTTTTAAAAAATTTTATTTTTAAGTCTCTCTACAACTGATGTGGGGCTGGAACTTACAACCCCAAGATTAAGAGTTGCATGCTCCACTAATTGAGCTAGCCAGGCGCCCCTCCTGGACCCTTTTATTTATTTATGGGCACCTGGGTGGCTCAGTCGTTAAGCGTCTGCCTTCGGCTCAGGTCATGATTCCAGGGTCCTGGGATCGAGCCCCACATTGGGCTCTCTGCTCAGCGGGGAGCCTGCTTCTCCCTCTGCCTCTGCCCCTGCTCCTGCTTGTGTGCCCTTTCTGTCTCTCTCTCTCTGACAAATAAATCTTTAAAAAGATTTTATTTATTTAAGAGAGAGAGAGAGCACAAACACTCGCTGATGTGGATGAGCACGAGGAGGGGCAGAGGCAGAGAGAGAAGCAGGCTCCCCACTGAGCAGGGAGCCTGATGGGGGACTCTATGCGGGGCTCGATCCCAGGACCCCAAGATCATGACCTGAGCCAAAGGCAAGCACTTAACCAACTGAGCCACACAGGCGCCCCACCTCCTGGACTCTTATAAAGATGCCAGTTTTACTGGGATAACCCTTGGTTCTTTAGAGCACGAGTTTCTCACTGGGAGCAGGGAGAGGCAGGGGGCTGCTGGAGGGTGGGCAGCAGAGAAACAGGAAGCGGGCCCAGATGTCCATTCTGCCCAGGCCCGGCTCAGGGAGACAGACTTGTGCTCCCCTGGCACTGGCTGGGCTGGCACTCTGTGCTCCTTGCTGTATACTTGGGGTGACTGCTGCCAGCCCAGCTGACCTACCCAGATGAGCCAGTAGGCAGGAGAGGGGGCAACATCTAGAGTACGTCCTGCACTTGGCCAAGGCTGTCTGCACCCATCTGAGAAAGAGAATCACCAGAAAGAACCTTGGACAGGCTGCAGGTTAGCCTTGCCTGGGAAGGACATGCCAGGGGAGCCCCCCACCCTGAGGGACCACCACCCACCAAGGGCCTCACCTCCAAGCCAGGGTTTTCTCTGTGCCCCTTCCCTGGGAGACCCTGCTGGTTCACTGCTAGTTGATTTGAAAACCAAAAACAAAACCAAAAAGGATGGGTGACCAGTGCTAGGCATGTCTGCCCTCAGGTATGTTGGAATTGAGGCAGGGGGCAGGTCCCCTACCAGATTTAGGGCTTGATTCACCCACCACCCCAGTCCTAATCCCAGAGGACATTTCAGAAAGGTGCATGGGTGCTGCTGGGTGCTCCAGACCCACCCCGCCCCCCAGCCTGAAGAATGGGCCACAGCCTCAGCTTTATTTTCACAGAAGAGATCAAAGCTGGACTTCAGAGACTGTGCTATCTGGCTTTTTGGAAGGAATCTTGGTGGAGACTGTTTGTGTTGGCTCCCTGGGCACCTGTTGATATAATTTACACCCTGACATAATTGTCTCACCTTTTGCCTGGATGGCTGCTTTTATTTTCACAGAGATCATGGCTTTCGGTGGCTCAGGAGTACTGCAGGCCAGAACACCTGGTCTGCAATGGGATGGCCTCCTTGGCGCCACCTACTGTCAGGTGTAGCCCACGACAGGGGAGAATGCCTGCAAAAGGGGCAGTCACCCCTCTGTAAATACCGGGTCCTGGCACAGTGAGAACACAGAAGAATGTAGCATTTTTTCATGCTTTCCTGAAGGTAATGGTCAAATGGCCGCAACTGAGCTGGCACGAATGAAATCATAGTACATGGCGACGAGTGCCAAGAGCTAATGTGGGACATACAGGCGTGCCCTGTGAGTACAGAGCAGAGGGCATCTGTGTGTAAGGGTGAACAGGACTTGGACAGGTGCAGCAGACGAATGCCGACAGATGGGGGTGAGTGCAGGTGGGATGCTCAGTTTAGGGCAGTGGCTAAAGGATGTACCAAGAGAAGACTGGAAAGGGAGATGGGAGCCTTGAATGCCAGAAGAAATGGTTTGAACTTCACCTTGAGGCTCTGGGAACATTTTGGACATTTTAAGCAGGGAAGTGACAGGTTGGAAAAGGGGGGTGGGAATATTAACATGGTCAGATCCTCACCTGTAACAAAGCTTGGTGGGCCAGCAGTGTTCTAAGGCGTAGAGGAGAACAGATGTGGAGTGGAGACCCTTGTGAAAGGGGTATGCCGGAGAGTTGCTGAATGCCTTTCCAAGGCTGGATGGGTACAAGCTGAAATCCACCTGTTTAGTTGTGGCAGGCAGCTCTCCTTCCACGGCCGGAGGGTTTCAGAGCACTCTGCAGCTACACAGCCAGCCCCAGCTTGGGAGCAAACTGGGGAAGATGCAGTTACTAGCCAAACCCACTGGTCAGAGGAGAAGGCTGGGGGCAGTCTTTGATCTTTTACCCCTGGCCTCAACTCCACCCCAAGCCAGCTGTGAGCGCCCACCCCCCATGACCCAGACATAGTACAGTGGTGGTGGGGGGGGAACCACCTAATTTTAAGACAGCAATTTGTCCAGTGCTGTGCCCTCTTCACTTTTTTCTGCATCTGGGGGAAAAACTTCAGAAATGAGGACAGATTCAAGTTGGAAGTTCCCCGAGAGAGCATCTAATATAGCCCCCTTCAGTTAGAGATGGGAAGGTGACATTCCCAAAGTTACATGGCTAGATAATTCTAACATACAGATGTGTTAAGTGCTTTAATCCTCACAATTCTGAAGTAGGTATTGTTATCCTCCTTGTTCTATAAATGAAGAACCTGTGGACAGGGAGTATGAGTAGCCAAGGACTCTGAGCTGGTAAGGGGAGGGGCTGGCAGTGGAACCTGGAGTCTGAATCCCGCATTTCTGGTTTGGGGTGGGGGGCTTTTGCCCCTCCATCACGAGAGGCTGCCTTCCCGGCCACAAGGTAGGTCACCATGGCTCCCAGCCATCTCTATTCTGGCAGGAGCTGCCCCCAGCCTCTTGGCTTTGCCCTTCCTCCCACAGGGTCTAGCTCAGTGCTGAGCTTGCAGGAAATGTGCTTCCTGAAGCTGGGACTTCCCCACGGAGATTGAGGGGCAGCTGGGCATCCCTGCCTCGGCCTGAGGGATGACTCTGCTCAGCCACTGTGTGTCTCAGGAACTCAGGGCAGCCGCTCACCTGTTAGGTGGGCATCGAGGGGGTGGCTGAGCGGCCCTTGCCACTCCTTCACGCACCGCTTGAAGGGAATGGATTCTCCTCTGGTAGGAGGCAGGGTGGGAGGTGGTCATGCAGGGGTACAGAGCCCTCTGGGTGGTCACAGAGCTGCTCCAGTCAGGGCTTCAGAAGGCAGACAGGAGGGAAGTGTGTGGCCCCCATGAGGGATCCCCATCACCGTGAGGGCTCAGGCATATCTGCATGGCAGGGAGGCCCAGGCACGTGGCCTGGAAGGGAGTGTGCTTGGGCGTGTGTTGGGGGGGGGGGCTGTGGGTTCTTTTGAGCCCACACAAAGCCTTGTGCTGAGACACTGCATTCCTGCTGGCCTGGCTTCCTGTTCCAGATGCATTCCTGCCCCAGAGTCACCAGGGAGACTGCTTGGAATCTGGCCCCACATTCTCCAAATTCAGGGCGAGATCTGGCAGAGGTTCCCTCCCTTTCCCTCCCCACCCTCTCACTTTGGAGGAAGGAAGCCACCTGATAGGCCAGCCCTCCAACCCTCCTACCTAGGGAGGGCTGGGGTGGGGTCTGACACTGCCTGTGGGGTTTGGTGCCACACATCCTGTTGGACAAGCATAAAGCAGTTCCTGCCAGGCCCTGCCTTCTGTTTCCCTGTCTATATCTGGGAAAGAGGAATGGAGTGGGGTTGCTGTCTAGGAGGATAGGGTTAAGAGGGCGCAGCCCAGAGGACCTATGCCTGGCAGGGAAGGGCTTAGCCTGAAAATCAAGGTGTTAAGAGATGGCAGGTAATTCAGACACTAGGCTCTCATTCTTTCTCCAGCCTTGGCTACAGGCCTCAGTTTCCCCATATTATACAGTTAGAATCTTCTAGTTTGCGGCTCTCTGATAAGGCTCTTGTGTAAGGAAGGTGTTTGCGGAAGGGTCTGAAGGAGCAAGGAGCAGAAGAGGGTGGGCAGACTGTTTTCTCCTCTCCCAGTTAACAGCCACTTCCTTCCAAGGGCTCCAGCTCCAGCCCCTCCCCCGGAGGCTCAGGTGCAAGTTTGCACGTCCACCAGCTCCCTTATCTGCCTCCAAGGGATTTGGGTCCTGCTGGGATTTTTCCAGTCCTGTCACCTTCCTCAGGAGGATGAGGTTTCCTTAGAGGCCAGCAGCCCCCCTGGTCACCAGGCTGTGTTCCCTTCAGCAGCTGCCTGGGCTCCTAGCCTCCTTTCAGGCTGGGAGCCTTTGAGGGTGAGGGATGGTGGAATCTCAGGACCAAAAGACGGTGGGGTGGGGACAGGGAAGTATTTACGCTTCCACCGCCTCCAGGCTGCTTCCCTGTCCCCCTGGCTCACTGCCCCAGATCCTGAAGCCCCCCACCCCCAAGCCCCAGCTTTAGGGTGCTCGGGTGAGGGAGACATATGGGACGAGGAGGGGATTCAGATCTAGCCCAGGACTCAAGGCGCTCTACAGTTGTTGGAAAGGATTTCCATGTGGACAGGGATCACTTCCCCCTTCCATCGCGTCAGCTTTCTGAGTGGCTGAGTGACTTGCCCCAGGCACACAGCTGGGAGCGCAGGGACAACCTTGTCCCGGTCAGCGCTCTTCCCGCAGCCAGCACGTGGGGCTCCATTTCCTTCCGCGCTCCCGTCCAGTCCCCGCCGACCCTCCACCCCCATCCCCCGGCTGCATTTCGGCGGCAGGAAGACAGACCAGCATGTGAACCGGGAGGGGGGGTGCCGGGTAACCCCGCACCTCGAGCCTGACAGCGTCCGTAGGCGGGGGTCTCCGCTCCTCGGCCGGCGGCGGGAGCGCTGGGCTGCCCGGAGCCCGAAGGACGGCGGATCGAGGCCTTTTCCCGGCTCCCCGGCGCGCCCCGCGCGTCCCGGCTCCCAGGCCCCGCCCCCGCCCCCCGCGGCCGCTCCGGGCGCGCCCCCGCCCCCTGCTGCCCGCACACCTGCGCGCCCCTCCCCCCTTCCCCTCGCTCCGCGCCGGGAGGGTCCGCGGGCCGCGCCCAGCCGGGGCCGGACGCGCGTGTGAAGCCGCCCGCCAGACAGCGGCGGGGGGACGCTGGCCCGGGATCGCGGGCCGGCTGCTGCGGCCGCGGCCGGGGCGCCGCGTCGGGGCCGGGAGCAGGGCCATGCTGGGCCGGCGGCGCGTCTTCGCCGTGGAGCCGCTCGGCGGCCGGGGTGAGTCGCCCACCCCCCAGGTCGGCCGGGGCCTGCCGCTCTGGAGCCGCCTCCCGCGCCGAGCCCCGGTCTGCGCTCCCCGTCCCAGCCCGTACACCCCGCCCGGGGCGCCCGAACCTCGCCGCCTCCCTTCCGACGGGCTGAGTGATGGCGCCGTGCGCTTTGGAGACCCTCTGGGTTTGGGCGTTAAACCAGCCACCACCTTCCATCCCACTTCCCCCCGGCTCCACTTCCCTCTTAATTCCCGGTGTGGACCCTTCGCCCAGCCCTTGCCCCGCCGGCAGGTCCAAAAGCCCCCTCCGCGGCGGCGGATCCCTTCCCGAAGGAGACTTCCTGGCTGGCTTCTTTGGCCAGGGGGGGCCTGGCCTGGCCCCCAGCTCCGCGGCGTGGCCGGCGGTGAGACGGCGGCAGCCCTCCATCCTCTCCCGCACTAGTTTGTGCATCAGTTTTACAGCTGGGGATCCAGCGCGTGGGTAGGGCCTAGCGCAGGGGGGACAGTCTTCGGGAGCTAGCGCTGCTTCTCCTCCTACACCCCCCGCCCCGTCCCCAACTCTCCACCAAATCTTCACTATTTCTCATTTAAAAGAACAGAAGACCGCAGCGCTTATAGCTATTCTTATTTCTATTTCCCTCCCCCAGCAGCTCCCGGAGGGACTTCATCTTGCATCCTGATGCTAGTTTGGACCCCAAGCTTCCTTCTTTGTGCCCCTCCCCGTTTCCCCGAGGCCAGAGGGTCACAGTCCTACTGCCCCGTGGGGAGTAGTTGGAGAGACTGAGGCTCCCCATTCAGGACTTGGAGCTCTTAGGCTGACCCTAGGCTCCTTAGCACAAGAAGAGAGCAGCAACCCCCTCAAAGGAGGCTAGGCCATCCAAGGAGCTGGTGAATATGCCCTACACGGTTTTGCCTACCACACAGGCCAAATCCGGGGGGTCTGTGATCGGCAACAAAGACCGCTTGTGAAGGGAACCCGTGCTAGCTTCTCCCAGCCAGGGATGGGGAGAGATCTGGGCGGGGCTGTGGCTCTCCACCCCGTCTCCTCCCTTTGCCTCGGCCCAGGACACTCCTCCCTGGGGAATGCTGCTAGTTGCCAGGATCGCTGGGGGCGTTAGGGGCAGCCTGCCCAGCCTGATGCTGACTCTCCTTGCAGATGGGGTTGGTGAGGACTTGGCACACGGTTGTGTAGTACCTGGAGTCAGCAGCACCTACCGACGGATCCCGGACGCTGCTCAAGGTGGCTCGCTGGACTCCTGGAAGGGAGATGGCCAGCTGAGAGGTCTCAGGAGGCAGGAGCCACTTCTCAAACTGGCCTCCCGGGACTCAGGAGTGGAGATGGTGGTTGGGGACAGCCTCCTGGCCACCTCACCGGGCCTTTCTCAGGACTCTCTGGACTTTGAGCCCACAGGGAGCCCTGAGCCCCTGGCCCTTGCTTCCACGGAGCCTCCTGCCCACCTAGGCCGGCTTCTGGCCAGCCGTAAGCTGGAGCAGGTGCTGGAGCGGTCCCGCCAGCTTCCGACTTCCCCTGCCAGTATGTCACAACGCCCCCGCTCCCTGAAGTCCCCCAGCGAGCCTGAATGTGAAATGCCCCCTTTTGGAGCCGGGGAACAGGAGGCCACTGAGGCAGAAACTGACCTGGAGGCAGGCCTGGAAGAAGCAGAGGTGGTGAGTGTCAGCTCTCAAGCTGGGTCAAGAGTGGGATGGAAATGGCCTTTTTACATGGAGGGATGGGTTGCTGGCTGGTGGGGCCTCACTGACTTGTTCTCCTTGGAGCTCTCTTGGGGTGGGGCGTTCCTTGCTGCTAATTGACGGGTTGTTCTCGCCTCAGCCCACTCCCAGCTGTGTGGAGGTGGGCAGGAGGGGGGCCGGCCTGACAGCATGCCCGGCTGGGTACTGGGAGGCCAGTCGGGGGTGTGTGCCTCCTCTCCCTGGCCCCTCTGCTCCCATCGGCTGGCTGCCCAGGATGGGAGCCTGCTTGAGTTCCGAAGGGCCCCCCTACCTCACTCTGTCCCACAGGCGGGGGGCCTGGGGCCTGAAGCCCGGGCCTGTCTCCCAGGGCAGGGTCTCCGCTACCTGGAACACCTGTGCCTGGTGCTGGAGCAGATGGCAAGGCTCCAGCAGCTCTACTTGCAGCTGCAGACCCAGAGGCCCCCACGGGTGAGTGAGCCGCAGGGCCGGCAGGCCAGCAGGGGCCAGGTGAGTGGGGGCGGCAGAGGAGGGCTGGGACCCCTGGAACCAGCCCTCGAGTCAGGTCTTGAATGCCCGTCTGTCCTGTGCACAGGATCCTGAAGCGGAGGAAGAGGAGGAGGCGGGGAAGCCCACCCTGGCCCCCTCACCGCCACCTTCTCGTGCCCCAGGCCGTGAGGTGCACAGACTGCCCAGCCAGATGCAGGAGACAGGTGAGGGGCAGTCGTGTTTCCCTCTGTGTCTTACCTGCCCAGGGCTGCCCTCCTCCCCCGGCAGACCCAGTGAGCCCTGGGCTTGATGGGTGGCTTCCTGCTTCTGGCCCTGGGTAATCTGATTCTCTTTCTGAAGGGGCAAAATCAGCTGCGCCCCTAAAGGTAGGGCTGCCCGGTGTCAACCCTCCCATGCTGTTAGAGGCTGCTGCAGAGCCCGCTCACATCTTTCCATCCTCCCAGGGACACAAGGTAGGTGCTGGGTATGTGTGGAGGCAGGGGACAGGATGGAGTGGGGCTGTGGGGTGGTTGGGATGTGTACACAACGTGAAGGCCAGGAACGCTGGGAAAGTGACAGAATTCCTGATTGGAGCAGGTGACTTGTCCTGGCTGTGCTGCCTGCTGGCTCTGGCAGCTTGGTCAGGGGCATGTGGTGGGGAGGAGCTCTGTGGTGATCCCCTCACCCTCTGCTCAGCGGGATCTCTCCCACTGGAACAAGGTCAAGGTCCTGCTCAACCGGATCCGTTGGAGGAGCCCGAAACACCCTGAGTCCCCTGCCCCTCTTGATGGCCCTGCCCCTAGGTGAGTCCTGGAGCCCAGCCCAGGTGAGGGCAGAGGAGGAGCCTGATGAACCAGGATGCTGAGATTGTAGGGCCAGTTGTGTTTTTTTGGTCCCTTGGAAATCTGAGAGACGTAGATAGTCTTGGAGAGGGTGCAGGAAGAAACAGAAGGTAGTTAGAGCATCCCGTTTACAGGGGAGGAGGCTGGGGATTAGACTGGGGAAGGAAGTTGCTTTCCTGAGGCTACCTGCGTGGTGAGTCCATGGCAGAGCCAGGACCAGAGCATGGGAAACCCCCTCATGCCCGTCCAGCAAGCCCTCACCCCTCACAGCTGAACCTTAGGCCACCTCCCAGATTTGCTGGGAGAGCAAGGTTGGGACACAAAGGATTCCACAGTAGGTGATGGGGGGTAATATGGGGATAGGAAGCACTATGTCGATGTCCCCAGGCTCCCCGCGGCAGATACACAGTGTTCCATCAACTCTGGGGCCATTGCTGCCTTCGTTTCCTCCTCCTAGCCTAAAGCTACCTTTTCTTTTCCACAGGATTGAGTCAAGGGGCGTCCCTGAAAGACCTCCATGCCAGCCCCTCCGGAAGACCTTTATGCCATCATTTGTGGTTAAGAAGCAACGAGCAAAAAACCTTTCTGTATGCTGAGACCTCCTGGTGCAGGGACGTGACCCTGCGTGGGGGTGTGTGCAGTGAAGTTGTCTTCCTCGCCCTTTGCCCTGTTGCTGCTTCTGGGCACTGCCAGGAAAAGCTGCTGATGCTCACCCTTCTCTCTGAGGAGAGGGCTGGATCTTTCTCCTCTGGGCAGCCTGGAAGAGGAGTCCTGGTTCCCTGAGAGGCCCCAAGGTGCGGCAGCCTCCGGGCTCCTTGCTGGTTGCCAGAAATCCCTGGGCCTAGTCAATGTGAACTAACTTATTTATCAGGAGTCCATGGAACGTGTTTGGCATGGTGATCTCCTGGGGCCTAGTGTGTCACAGATGTGTATTTGTGCAAAATGATACATGTATCTCTGTGAGTCTGTCACTGTTGTGAACTGGCTGGATACAACCGTTTCTTCTGAATCATGCACTCAAAGGGTTGGTCGTCTGGGTGAGGTAACTGCGAAAGGATGGAACTGAACTTCATTCCTCAGTGGGCAGTTACTGATTTGGAGTCCTGCTTTCCTTCTCATACCTTCATGGGTAGCCCCAGGACGGGCGGGGCGGGGCTCCTATCTTGGGTGCCTCTGCATGGAGTCTTGCCTGTGAAACAGAGCCCCTGAAGACCAAACCTGGAATGGAAGGGTCAGGGACAACATGGAGAAAAGCAGAGTAAGCTTCAAGGTCTGTCTTCAGCTGCTTTGGTCCCTAATAACCTTTACATATCAGAGCAGAAACCAGAGACATACTAGCTTTTAGACCTTGACAAAAATCCCTTAACTTTTCTGAGCCATAGCTTCCTACTTAATCTCCCAAATGGTTTAATGATACCTGCCCTACCTACCTCACAGTCTTATTATGAAGATAAAATGAGATTAAACTGTCTTGAAGTGCATTGTGAATGTTACATGAATAGGAAGGGGGAGGGCATGGGGTTGGAAGGAGGCCAAACTGGAGGGATGATGGGAAGGCCAGAGGATAAAGGAGGCCTGGAGTGGCTAATGCAGACAAAGGGCCAGTGATTAGTGGCAAGACTTGAAGCATGTCATTTCACTCAACTCTTAGGTTTCATATCTGAGAATTAGGGCACTAATGCCTGACCTTATTTTCCAGGGTTGTGAGGACTAAAGAAAATGTTTCTGAGAACATTGTAAATGTCTACCAAAATATTGTGGTTTATTTATTACAGCATGTAGTGTTCCTAGCTCTTTGCTAATGGAGAAAGGGGAAAAGCTTAGTCTCCTGCAGATATCCAGAGGATGGGAGGGGACGGGTGTGTGTGTGTGGGGGGGGGTGTCAATGGAAGGGCCGGGCTAGGGATGAAGTCATTGGCTTGAGTCAGACAGGAATGTCTCCTAGAAATGGCCACTGATCAGGCACTCTCCTCCTTCAGTCAGGAGGGGCTGCTTCTCTTGGGGCTGCAGCCCTGGGGTCTGCCAGAATGAGGCCAGGTGTCGGGTGGTAGGTGCTCTCTCCTGTTTAGGGGTCCAGCTCCTGCTGTCTTTGTACCAGGAACCAATGCTCTAAAGCCTACTTTTCTAATGGGACAGTTAAGCGGGGACACCACCGAGGCCCAGCTTCCTAACGCGCATCCGATCGGGGAAGGCGCACTTCCGTTCCACAGTTGGAGGGGGATGGCAGGCCGGCGTGGGGGAAGGGAGAAGTCGGTGGAGAGGAGGGAGGGACCATATCCGGGAGAGTGGCAGCTTCCGACCAGTGGTCGCGCTTCCGGAGAGGCGCTTCCGGTGGTGGCGGCAGTAGCGGCTGTGGTGGTTCCGGGTGTCTTTGTCCCCCCGGTGTCGCGGCCCTGGCCCGCAGGTGGGTTGGGGGGGCCCCCGCCGCCTCTCTGCCCCTTCGCCTCTTCCCCGGCCGAGGGGCTGCGAGGGCCGGGCAGCAAAGATGCACGGGCCGCGGAAGGGGCCGAGCCCCCCATCGGACTGCAAGTCCCGTCTCCCTGGCAACGGCCTCGGCCCTGGGGGCGGGCGGGAGGAGGAGAAACCGCGCGCCTTCGTCCTCCCACGGTGGCCCCGCCGCGGCCCGGCCCGGGAGGCCCGGTGCCCGCGGCTGCTGAAGCGGGAGCCGAGGCCCAGGGAGCACGGGAGCAGGAGGGCGGGCGGGTGCGCTGCCGGATTCGCGTTCGGCCGGGCCACGGGGCTTCCTTCCCACCAGCCCGTCCGGGGAACAACGGGCCGGGCTTCCGGGGAGAGGGCCCACACTTTCTCCTCTCCGGCACCAGCCTCCTCCATTTTTCCGGGCCTTGCGTGGAGCATTTTGGCGGATGTATTTGAATGAATGAATGTCACTGGGGCCCTTTCCGATCCCCCACTCTCCCCAAGCATCAGCGGGTGGCGTGGCATCGTGAGAAGAGCGCTAAGTTGTTGGCGACCTGGGTGCGAGTCTCAGTTTTGTCACTAACTGGTGATGTGACTCTGGGCAAGTCTCAATCTCTGTGAGCCTCAGTTTCCTTTTCTTTAAAATAGCTTGACAGTATCACCCACCACTAACTTGTGAGGGCAAACTGGAACAATGTAATTTTTGCATTTCCTGCTCTTTATGTTCTCTCCATCTCCTCCATTCATTCTCCGTACCCACCTCCTCACCTTCATTAGATCCTCAGTTACTTTTTGGGGGTTGATGGAAAATTTCCCTCTGAGCTGTTAACTTCTTTCTTTTCCAATTAAAGGTTTTTTCTAAGACTCTGAAAGAGGACAGCATTCCCAATGTCCCAGTTTAAGCGCCAGCGGATCAACCCGCTTCCAGGGGGACGCAACTTCTCAGGTGATCACCTTTATCCCTATTTGGCCTCATACTGGGTATTAGGTGCTTTGGAGTTAGTCTTTTAAAATGTGGCTTTTGGGGTTTCCCTGGTGGAGTGCAGATTTGCTGCTAACGTTTCTTAGGAAAATAGGAGATGAGCACAGTGGTGGCAAGTCAAACCCTGTGGAGGAGTTGCTTGGAGTCACTCTGCCCTTTGGGTCTGCCATACCTTCTGTCTTGACTCTAGTGCTCAAAATGGTAGATGCAGGTCCTGGAGATTGCTTCTCTGTCCACATAGGCACAGCTTCAACATCTCTTCTGGGTCCTCCTCCTGGTTTGCTCACTCCTCCTGTGGCCACAGACCTGTCCCAAAATGCCAGGCACCTTCAGGTAGGTTGGCATTTTTTCTAGTGAGTGTCAGCACTTGAGACTACCACAGCATGCATGGGTGCCTGGTGCTTTCATTCTTGTATAGCTGTGTTCATCCTTCCTAGTGCTCCTGACCTGGGCCAGGATGGAGGTGACTAGGCATCTCTGACTGGGGAGTCCTGAGTTGTGGCTCTAGGGAAATCTTTCGGGTGCTTCTTGGAATTAAAGAACTGGAAATCCTAGAAGAAGCTTCTGACCTAAGAATCAGTGTGATCTCTTCCTCCTCCTTGCAGTAGATTATAACTATTATATGTGTGTGTCTCCTTCATGTGAATCTCGATGCCATACTTTGTTGAAGCTGGGTGGGGTTTGGCTGCAGATGAGATGCTAACGGTGGAGCATGGACAAATGCTCTCTGTTACTTTCAAACTGCACTGTTCTCTTACAGGGTGGGGAGAAGCAGCGGGTCTTCACTGGTATTGTTACCAGCTTGCATGACTACTTTGGGGTGGTGGATGAAGAGGTCTTTTTTCAGCTAAGGTAGGCTTGAGGTTAGTCCCCTGAATGCCTGTTGAATTCAATTCTGTCGCCGTGCTGGTGGGGCCCCTCTGAAGCCATTGCTTTGCTGTTTTTATGCAAGGTGTGCGAAATCTTGAAGGGCAGGGCCTCCTAGGGGCAGTCAAGGTGGCTTGGCCAGGGTCTCTCTCCTGACTGGGTCTCCTGGCTTGTGTGCTGGCAGTGTGGTGAAGGGCCGGCTGCCCCAGCTGGGTGAGAAGGTGCTGGTGAAGGCTGCATACAACCCAGGCCAGGCAGTGCCCTGGAATGCTGTCAAGGTGCAAACGCTCTCCAACCAGGTATGCGTCTTTCCGGCATGTGCATTGGAAAGGGGAGGGAGGGAAGCCCCAGTGCCCTGAAAGCTGGGCAAGAACCTTACTTTTGTCAAGGGGCAGGGCTGCATCATTCCAAGGTAGTGAGCAAATCGACCACGGGATGCCCTGAATTTCCTGGTTACTGTCCTGCAGCCCCTGCTGAAGTCCCCAGCACCTCCCCTTCTCCATGTGGCAGCCCTGGGCCAGAAGCAAGGGATTCTGGGAGCTCAGCCCCAGCTGATCTTCCAGCCTCACCGGATTCCCCCGCTCTTTCCTCAGAAGCGTGCGTACCAGTGGCATGGATGTTGGGGGACTTTATGGGGGTACTCTGGATGAATGGGTCTGTAGCTCTCAGGTTGTTGCTCTCAGAATAGAAGTGGGTACTGCTATCACTGGAGGAAAGGGACAGGGAAGTTGGGCAGATATGTAGGGTTTTTGAGTCACCAGCCATTTCTTCTCTGTAGCTCTGAGTCTCTTCCAAACATCCCACACACTTCATCTGAGCCACCTGAACAGATTTCCTGCTCGGGGCCCTCATGGACGATTGGATCAAGGCCGAAGGTAAGAGAATGATCAAACAAGGAAGGTACTTTATTTATTTGTCTCTGGGAGCAGTGTCTCTTTGCCACCTGTCACACTAACATTCTTTCTGCAGCTAGATCCTGGGCCCTTTCCCCTGAAACAGGCCGACGCACTGAGATGTATATGTAAATATTAGAACTTTATAAACTGGTTCAGCAAGCAGGGATTTGACATAGTTCGTCTTTCAAAATACCATATTGAAATTTATAATTTTCTCTTTTATTTCTAGTCCTTAAGACTGAGATGCCAAAAATCAAACTATCCAGAAATAGTAATTGTCCAAAAAAATGTAACTTTGCAGTGTTTGTTTTAATTTCTAGTATAAAGTGTTTTTTTTTTTTAAGATTTTATTTATTTATTTGACAGAGACACAGTGAGAGAGGGAACACCAGCAGGGGAAGTGGGAGAGGGAGAAGCAGGCTTCCTGTGGAGCAGGGAGCCTGATGCGGGGCTCGGTCCCAGGACCCTGGGATCATGCATGACCTGAGCCGAAGGCAGACTGAGCCACCCAGGCTGCCCTAAAATGTTTCTTTATATACACTGTACACATCAGTGTAGCATTAGAATCTGTAGGTTGCACTCTGCCCAGAAGTCCAGGCCCGTGCCTAGAACACGTAAATAGCTTCATGGCCCGTATGTAGCCGGCATGGTGGATTTGGGACTTTGGGGGTATTCTAGGCCATCCTGTATCATCTGTGAGCTTTGGGGACTGCTGGGAGCATGCTGCCTGTTCTCTCCAGCTCACGTGTTCCTTCTCTTACCTTACTCTCCCTAAAAGGTTTTGCTTATATTCCTAGAGTTAAGTTCTCAGTTAGTTTGCTGAAGACTTGTTTTAGTTATTCTGGTGATCCTCATTTTAATTTTTTATTAGGGAAAATTGTAAATATAAGCAAAAGCAAACAGAAAAGGATGACGAACCCTCATATACCCACCCCCCAGCTTCAACAAGTATCAACATCTTCCATTCTTTTTCATCTCTACCTCCATCTGCTCCCTGCCTTGTACTTGCTGTTTTTTTTTTTTTTAAGATTAAAAATTTTACCACAAGGGGCGCCTGGGTGGCTCAGTCGTTAAGCGTCTGCCTTTGGCCCAGGTCATGATCCCGGGGTCCTGGGATCGAGTCCCACATCGGGCTCCCTGCTCCGCGGGAAGCCTGCTTCTCCCTCTCCCACTCCCCCTGCTTGTATTCCCTCTCTCGCTGTGTCTCTCTGTCAAATAAATAAAATCTTAAAAAAAAAAAAAAAAATTTTACCACAAATATTGTATAGGTTGAAATGCACAAATCTCAACTGGACAATTTTGACGTGGAAAAATCCAC